CTCTCTCTCTCTCTCTCTCTCTCTCTCTCTCTCTCTCTCTCTCTCTCTCTCTGCACGAGTAAGCGCAAGTGTGAAAAAGGTATGACCATAGAATAACAAGATAAACAGTATGTAAAGTAGCAAGCAACGAGACACAAACCTTGTAGCCCATTTGCTGTCCCACATGCCAAAATCAACAAACCATAAACACAAAAGACCCAAGTCAGGATAAAGGATGTGTGATATCTATCATAAACCAGCAGCTGCAGCTTTTTTCTTGATTGTTTAAACAAGTATCTCAAGTTATAGGAAGCAAAAGATTAAGGCAACAAAATTCTAATAATGCCAATGTAACCATGAGAAGAATCCACAAGTACCTTGAAGGCTGAAGTCTTTCAGGTCAATACCACAAAGCTCATAAATATTTTCCTTGACACCACCCTTCTTTAACATGGATCCAAACATGGTTGCACAGTTTAAGGCCTGCCTATTGGTAATCAGCATCTGCTTCTGTATTGATGTGATGTAAGCATTTAATGAGCTACAACAGGAAGGGTTCATAGAAGCCAAGTCCTTGCATGCTTCTATTACTGATGTCGGTTGCTTGAACTGCAATGGGCAAGCTGCAGGCGATGAAATCCTACATTAATTGGATTTGATATCAAACAGAATCTTCTCAAAGAACAAGTAGATCAAGTAAGAAGTAACAACATAGTTTAGTTTTACATATCAACCTTTTCGCATTTCTTTGATGATAAATATTTTTATTATGCCTTAGAGAGCTGATACAACAGATCACCATTTCAATCATATATGTGCCCTGAGAAAACAGATACCGAATATCAAGCTTTTTAAACTCCACTAAGTAAACGACGCCTAATGATTAAAATTCCTTCCCTTATAATTCCAAATTAAGTCAATATCACCTTGGAATGTTGTCTTTTCAATATTTGTTTTACTAACCCAGATTCAGGAAGGAAAGAAGGATATCCAAGTTAGCACTCTAAATTCCATCATGCGCACCAACCTTAACAATAAAAAAATCTCTCCCCTTTTCTGCAAAACTAACCCCACATCTTCCATAATTACCATATTGATCGCAGCAATAGCACTCCCAGACCCTATATCAGTAAGTGGTAGTGGCGACTAGCCACCCAAGAGGGTCACCTGTGGCAACAAGTTCTTAGCCACAAATAGCGCTCAAAACTCCCCACCTGGTTACCTGATTGCCGTGCAAACAGTAGGTTTTGGGGACTCAAAGCCTATAGCTACTTCAAGGCAAACATTCATTTCCACCCCAGGACCGGTAACAGAGTCAAACTTTGGACCGACCTATGATTAGGCCACACTACCCTCAGGGAACACTTCCCCAAACTCTACCTTCTGGCAAGAAATTGTGAGTCCACGGTGGCTGACCTCTCAGTACCCCAGGGCTTGACCAGAGTTTGAGTTTCAAACTTCAGGAGATCCCTCTTGGATCATGAAATAGATGACTTCCTTTGGTCCCCTGTCAACTCGGGCTCCTTTTCTGTCTCCTCTTTCTACCACTCTCCAATCTCTTCTAACACAACCACAGTCCAACCCCAGCAACCCCATCCCCATCGCTAGAGCCTGGTTTACCTTTATCCCACCAAAGATACAGGTCTTCACCTGGTTAGCTTTCGCTGAAAGAGCTCAGACCATGGACCGACTCCAAAGAAGGGGAATCGCAACCCCAAAACAATGTGTGATGTGCTTGAAAGAAGAGGAACCTAATGCACACCTCTTCATCTATTGCGAAGTTGAAAGTGATCTATGGGGTTTTCTTCTCCAACTGTTCAATTGGTCTTGGGTTACTCTGAGGTCAGTCCCATACATTTTACCTCCCTTCCATCCCGCCCATGCCGGTATTCTACTCGGGAAAGCATCAGTACCAGCCACCCTGTGGGCGCTATGGATTGAGAAAACCACAGAATCTTCCAAGGCCAATCGGCACACTGACAGGTCCTCAAGGAACACATCAGACGATGGTCATCTTTGGGCCACAAACCACAGTCGCTTCAAAAATGTCTCTCGCAGACGTCCACCTCAACTGGTTATCTTTATTCACCTCTCGGTCTCCTCGCATCCCTAGAGGCTCCCTCTGGTGTCCCCCGAAACCAGGCATCACCAAATTTAACTTCGATGGTTGCTCACTTGGCAACCCTTGCCCTACTGGAATAGGCAGAATCTTCAGAAACCAAAAAGACCTCACTATCTTCCTCTTCTCCAAGCACATAGGCCTAGCGGATTCTCACACGCGGAGGCCCTAGCGCTCCTTGAGGGTCGTAGGGACTTCAACCCCAACTGGAACCCCACGTTTATGGTGGAGGGGGACGCCAAAAAATGTCCTCTCTTGGACCTCTGGTTCCACAGCCCCCCCTTGGAGACTTTCGCATGTTTTTGACGAGATCGCCGAAATCTACAGACCCATCCAAATCTCTTAGAATCAAGTTTTGCAGGAGGCAAATTGGAGGCCAACTCACTCACTAAGGAGGGCGCAACTCACTCTGACAGCACAGCAACGCTGTGAACTTTTATGCGCACTTAGTCCCAGCCTATCTACCCCATTGTGTTTTGGCTGTGTGGCATTTTTTGTCGTCAGCCACCTCCTGAGTGGCATTCTATAAAGCTCCCAATCTGTGGGTAGCCCATTTTTTGATACAGTATACCTATATACCTCTTTTCATTCATTACAACAGATAGCATTTTCAAAAAGATTGAGAGAGCAGGGATTATTCGCAATTGCACCCCCAACGACACTCTATCATACCGCTCCACTGACCATATTATTCCACTGATAATTTGCAATACTCCGCTGAAGGCCATTTAATTAAAAGATGTACCAATATTGTCAGGACCCAGGTGATACCAACGCCCATGTGATATGTTACGGGCCCATACATACAAGGTCCATGGGATTTGTAATAATAATGTACCACTCTAATAATTGTGCCTTGCCTTTATTATTTTTTTGATAAGATTGCCTGGCCTTATTATGCATACAAAGGGTAGAGAAAGGAAAAGGACATCCTCGACTCTGTGTGAAAACCTCCAGTGTAAGTCTTGAATGAGCTAACGTCTCAGGCTGGTGTGCTTGATTTCTCTAGTGTCTTCCCTCTTAGCATCCACCTGAAGCTAGGGTCTGCTACCTCTAATCTTTGTCAGCCCATCCATCTTCTATGTACCAGAAGTAATACCATTCTCTTAAACTTATCTCCCAATGATTTCTCTGCATATAAGTGTACGTTCCACATTTCAGTCTCGCCATATTTTTGCAGCTCCTTCCTAGCTTGAGGTGTGGGTAAGCCTGTAACTCCTGCAGTGGAGCGAAACGGTACGGGGTACCACTACGTGGCTAAGTAAGGGATCCAGTCTTCTTTCAGGTTTGAGGGCGAACCTGAATCCCCAGAAGCAACCAGAGATAAAAATAAAATAAACTACATTAGGAAAGATGAAGTGAACCCTCTCTTATTTTTAGGGTTTTCTTAGGATTTAAAAGACATCAGATTTCGAAATTTTAGGGTTTAGGCTTTAAGGGGTCCCTCTTTTTGGTTTATTTTACCTGTGGTCGGAGTCAATTTACCTTGGAAGGCATTATTGTTAGTGCAAGAGGCCAATCTCAAATAACTTTTGAAGCCAACACAAAGGGCCCTGATCTCCTCAAATTAAGGACTCCAAGAGGCCCAAATTTTGATGTAGTTTTGACTAGCACTACCCCTTGTCATAGTTTCATACCAAGACTCAACCTCATCGTAATTTTAAATTAAGTGTTACCTAAATCACAAGTCTACATAAGTCCGGATCCAATCATAGAATCAATTCACACCGTTTCAAGGAGAACAGAAAAAAGGAAACAACCAGGTATGTTGTTTACACTCATATCAAAAACACTTGAAGCAACATGAGGTGAGTCAGGTTGAAGCAAAGGTCAAACTGTCAAAGTTGCCTTATTTTTCAACCAAAGAGCACTTTCTCCCCAGTAACCAATATCCATAACATTCTCTAAAAAATACTAAAAGTAAAAGATGTCAAATCATAGAGCCATAGCCCTTCGTACTAAACCAAACTGCAGCTTCACTAGAAATGCAGTCGCAAAGCACACCGTCTCAAAAAGTGCACTTCCAAAGTGCGGCTTCTTCAGAAGAGCAGTTTCAATTCTTGGTTCAGTAGAAAACAATCAATTCAGCCAAATATTACTCTCCTCAAAATTCACTAACAACCCAGGCTATGTAGAATGCTTCCGGTTGCACATTCATTTTTTTACATCTCCTACCTTTCCCTTATTCTCCATATCGTCCATCTCCTTTTACACTTGTTTTCCTTTTCTCATTTTTTTCTCATTTTGCCAAGTATTATGCACATTTCCAGTTGTCTAGGTGTTAGTTATTGTCAAAAACCAAAAAATTCATATCCAAAATGCAATTCAAAAATACAACCAACATGCCTCGATTTGTCCCATCATGGCTAATTCCAATTCCTGAGGTCCTGTTATGGTCCTCAAATAGGTTTATAGAGATGCTATTCCTCAAAGGATTAACTCAAACTTTAACCTAAGTCCTAAAGGATGTTAGTCATGTTATCTCTCCCAACTCAAACCATAAAGAGTGATGTCATGGAAGATGCCTGATCAGTAACCCCACACTTAACATGAGATATTATCCCAAAAGAAGTTAGAGATCAAAAGTAATCCACAATGAATGCCACCCCTCAAGGTATTATGCACATTTCCACTTGCCTACGTGTTAGTTATTGTCAAAAACCAAAAAATTCATATACCAAAATGCACTTCAAAAATACAACCAACATGCCTCGATTTGTCCCATCATGGCTAATTCCAATTCCTGAGATCCTGTGTTATGGTCCTCAAACAGGTTTATAGAGATGCTATTCCTCAAAGGATTAACTCAAACTTTAACCTAAGTCCTAAAGGATGTTATTCATGTTATCACCCCCAACTCAAACCATAAAGGGTGATGCCATGGAAGATGCGTGATCAGTAACCACACACTTAACATGAGATATTATCCCCCAAGAAGTTTGAGATCAAAAGTAATCCACAATGAATGCCACTCCTCAAGGTGGATCCCATTGAATATTATCCCATAGAGCCAAAGCAGTGAAGGTTTGGTCTGCACAACTAAATGAATCTTCGTACGAAATGGACATGGAAATCCCTCCTGATGACCACATGGAAACTAGAATACAGTGGCCACGCTTCGAATAGGGTGCATCATATAAAGTGTTGGTTCCAGTTACCAAACATCTAATAGAAAAGTTTTCAACATAAAGAACAGGGCTTCTAAAGCCAGGTCATGTCCATTCTGCCGCCAATCAGCCCCATACTAAGCAGAAAAAAAAGAGGGGCACCTTTAGATATCTAACTTGCAAAGCATGCCAATTTTCTTCCCCCACCCTTCATTATGCATGTCCCTCTAAAACACCTTTTTTGTTTTAAGAGGGCAACAGCCTTCCAGTCCCCAAATAAGCAAGCTTGTCATCTAAGAATATAGAGCATTCAAGGGTAATATGGACTCTAGATCTTGCAAATAGACATTTGAAATGAAGCTTTCAACAGCTCAAGTCTGAAATTGTCTGCTAAAGGCAGAAGCACATTACATCCCAATCATCCATTGTTGAGCATGAATGGTTTGGACTACATGCTTGTATACTGCATTTAGTATGATATCATCATCATCATAGCCTTTTTCCAATTAATTGGGGTCGGCTACACAAATCCTGGTCCACCATTCCACTCTATTAAAAGTCATACCCCCTCACATTTAGTAGGATATATGATATTCTTTCCCAAAACAAAAAAAATTCCATTTTTTTTTTTTTACTTTTTTTTTTTTAACTTGGATAGTTCAGCGGTAGGTCTTGGACTAGCAACATAGTGCCATAATTGTCAACACCTTAAACTTGTCTAGAAAAGATTAAAATTATATATCAGATAGTAACAAGAATTATTTATTATGTTTTTTTTTTGGATAGAAAGAGAATTATATATTATGTTAGATACAAAGAATTAATCTAATATAGTGTTACATGTAAGTAATGATTGCATTAAAAAAAAAAAAGGTAATGGTAACTTTACTAATTAAAGAAAACATAATTTACAACTATGGCGACAGCTGGAATGAAGGTATCCCATAACTAAATAGCAAAACAAGAAACAGAGGAGGGACACCCATTGTGTAGGGAGTGGGAGCTGGGGATCATCTCTTGCCTAAAGTTCCCTACATCAAGAGCACACAGGATTGCTTGTATGGGAGCGTCACTGGAGCGCTGCCAAGATATATGTATGCATGTACATGTATATATATGTATGTGTGTGTGTGTGCTCCCGGGAATGCATGTCAGGATAGAGAACTTGAAAAAACTTAAAAAAACAAGTGATTGTACATGGGAGCACATTGGGTAAAATGGCGTGAAATTATAAAAACTTAAAAATCAAATGATTCATTTTTTAACGTCATACACACACTAATTTTGCTGCGAGAGAATCCCATAATTGAAAAAATTAAGATTGTATGGCCATGACAAGATTTATCATAGACCATTGTGGTCTTGTAATAATGTCCAAGAAAACCTGATATCTCTCATAGTTGTTGGGATCTCCCAACCTAGGTGGCGATCCCGCTCCAGAATCTCGTTACTGCATTTCTAGAAAGGGATCTACAAAGTGCCTTGATTTTTAAATTTTGGGATCTTGATGGCATCTGTTCAGGATCTCGATCCCCACTATACGGGATCTCGATCACACTTTAAAGACCAAGATAACAACCAAAATGATTTCCACGCTTGCTAGAATGCAGCTATACTTTTAATATACTTGAATTGCTTACTAGCTATAAACAAAGGGATCCATATTTTAAAGAGTATGTAGAGTCTTAGACCATATACACTCTTCAAGGTTCGGAGCAAGATCCCCAAAAGATTGGATCGAGATCCCAAAGGTCAGGATCAAGATCCCCGAAAGGTTGGGGTCAAGATCCCTAATATTTAGGGATCGCCATATGCATTGTACGGACACCACTCCCAAACATATGGATCTTGCAGCCATTCACGATCCCTCGGCTCCTCATTTCTATCCCTCTCCTGACCAAGTCCCAACAACATGATCTATCTCCCACAACTGTGATCTCTCTCCAATCTCGCATCAGCATAAGGCACATAATCAAGTAATCAACAAATTTAAAAAGACACACGCACACATACCCTCCCATAGATCAGTGGGTTAGCAACTATGGTCATCTTTATAGTTGACAATTCATCCAATCAGAGATCAATTACGAGAAAAATCATCTCATCATGCTTTTAATCATTATGGATCATTGTCTAATGTTAAATGGGGTCAAGATCCCATGCTAAATGGGATTGAAGTCCCATATAATCAGAAGCAAGCTCCCAAGGACAATCAGCCCTAGGAAGATGGAACCATCTTGCCAGAGCGGGATCGTCCCCCGAGGAAGGCGCTCCCCATGACAATGGAGACACCTCACTTCTTCCTTAGTAAACACATCAGCCACAAGGGACATGGCTAAAGTGAAAGGGTTGACTATCATACAAATCAATGACCTCTAGAATGAAGCGGCTAATGCTCCAAAGGGAACCAATCACCTTGCCATCTCATTGAATCACATTTTGAACAAATTGCTTAAACTATTAGGGCACCAAATAATGATAATCAAATTTTCAAGTCCCTCGAGAATCACATTTCCCTCGACTATAGTAGAGTCCCAAACACCCATAGGGCCCAAATATAACATCACAATGCCTCTCGTATCTTTCCACATACCTGCACCTATGCCTGCTGGTTCCGCATTACCTCGTGAGCAACCATGAAAGTTCAACATGAAAGTACCAATCGACAGTTTTTTTTAAGGATGCAATTTCTATAAGGCCTAGGCTATATGAAAACAAAGTAAAGCCTCACCTCGAATCCTCATCCGGCAAGTATTTTGGGCTCCATGACGGATCTAAAATCAATTTTCAACACAGACAACAAAAATCTGAAGCTCACAAAATGGTACAGATCTTGCGGATCCATGAACACTTATTTTTAGGGTAAAATGGACAGTCTAGAAAATATGTTATAATATACACTAATTTTAGGGCTTGAAATCTTTTTTTTTTTATAACCATAATGGTCAAGGTGCCGAGATTATCAATTTGAAGGTTTTCCGATGCTAGAACTGCAATTTCGATGAGTTTCGAGGCGAGGCTTTACTCATTTTGAGGTGACCCTATCAAAATATTTTTCTTTTTTAAAAGGAACCAAAGGGCTTAAAGGAACTACTTAAGTGAAAATATTGTATAGAAATAGTATCAATAATACTTTAGGAATAACACTTTTAATCACACTATATTACTTATAACAATCAGAGTATTCCATACACTAGAAATGATCATAAGACACTTTGGGAAGACCTAACAGTCTTGAAGGCTCCCCTCACACCAGTCAAAAGTTTCATTGCAGTTTAAAACCTGCAAATAGGATCTGGGCTCCACTTCCCTCCCGTTTTTTTGTATAACTATCTGTATTTGTATTGATTATTTTTTTTTGAGAATATCTGTATTGTATTGATTGTGAGAAAAATGTACAAATATGCGCGCATGAGTTGGATGATACAAAAGTTTTGTCTTACGAGCGTATATAAACAAAATGCGATGCGAGAAAAGAATTGGTCAGGGAGTAAAACTGTTATTTGACGAACAACTGATTTGGGCTTCACTTTCTCAAACTGCTATCTCAATTGCTTTTTATTTAATCATCTTGGATCCATGAAAGGGATTTACCCCAACTTAAGTAGGAAGAAATAACCCATACCAATAGGTTTGAGTTTTTCCATACACAGGTGCACAAGTTTCTAGAAGGACGCCAAGAAATCCCCACTTGTCAATTACTTTAGGGCTACTTTGGATGGTGCATACAAGTCACCAACGAGGATGCCATATTTCCGAGTGTAAGCAACTTTCTAAAGCTTTAACCCATGGTCGGCAAGTCCCACTTAATCTGCAAAGTTGACTTGTTCACATACACAAGTGCACAAACATCTCGTAATGAGGTGTGTGTGTATAAAGCCAACTATGGCTACTTATACGTGATCCAAGCAGGGCCTTAGACTACTACATAATATATTATGTCCATTCATGCATCTGCAACTAATCCAGAAATGTGTAGGAACGAGGGACTAATGTAGAAAAAATGAAATGCAGTAGCAAGGCATAGGAACAAAGGACCATAGGAAAACACTGAAGGAGGTATTTTACAAATTTAGCGACAACTTTCTTATGTTGTAGATTGAGTAAATTGTATGTAGAAGTTTCTTAGTCAGCCCGATTTTAAACTACATAGATTGTGACACTTGCAGTGCACAATAGGGTAATAAACCCACTCATATTGTATTATGATTCAACTTCCCACTGTAACATATAGATCGTAGCTACTTATATGTGACAAATGGTGACCTACTCTTGGACTGTGATGAACAGCCGCTTTAGCCCTTCCATGAAAACTTGATGTAACATATGCACTTATACCAGTGCAAACCAAACAACACATAACGATTATTTCAACCCACAAAATAAGCTAGAAATCCTCTATGGACAGACAACGTATCATTCAGATCAACTAACAAAAATTACACAATTATAATCCACATTTAACATTAATTGAGAATAAAGGTTCGGAAAAGGCATTTTTTGAGAGACATTAGCCCAAAAAATGCATAGCTGCGAAACAAGTGATATCTTGATATCACATACGTCTTTAATAAACCCAAAACCGAGTAGAGATGTACCTCTATTGACCTTGCAGCCTGATAACATCCGATAAGCAGTGTTGGCAGCATCAGGAGAGAGCTTTTTAGAAAGCCATGCATACACAACCCTTTTGCAATCACCAAGAACATCAACCCCTGAAGATCTCCCTATCAGACCACCATTCTCCAACATGCTCGATGCAGTTGAAGCAAGGCGCACTGCAGCATCAAGGATGGCAGGCTGACAAAGAGGTCTACAGCACTCTTTGAGGGGATCAATGGTTCCACAAGCGTCAAGCAATTTGCTTGTGTTTACCTGGTGACTCAATCAACTCACAGACCTTAGAACTAGAATGTCCCTACTCAAATTTGGCTTCCTATTCATAATGAATAAAAATTAGAATAATACCAACAACAACAATTGTGACTATGGACTAGAGATATATCCAATGGGGTCATCACCATTCAGTTAAATGATAAGATGCAGTTTTGGAGGGAGTCTGGGACCCACAGAACATGACATAACCCTAATGGTGGGTCCCACTCAGTTAATATCATCATCCACTCATTTTATTGGATGGTGTGACACCACTAGTATTTTCCATAGTTCATTAAATTATATATACTTGTCTTCCTTATACTAATAGTGATATCAGCTTACCATTTTCTCAAATGCATGGGCATCCTTGACAGGACAAGACCCACCGGTGAGATTTGATGAACTCACAGAGCAAAGCAACGGGAGAGTGTTATTTGCACCTCTACTGCTTAAAATACTCATAATATCTGAGAAGCAATCATTTGCAGTAGCATTGTTCAGGACCAATGAACCAGATTCCATGCTGTAGACCCCTTGGAAAATATGAAGCAAACTATAAACTTGGGGACAGCATATCACATTGCCCACCAATGAGGCTAGAGGTGCAATGCAATCTGATGCAGTTTTGTCAAGGATACCATCAATTAAAGAAAAACTAACTGGGCATCTCCCTGCATAAGAGAAGAGTTCACCATACAAGTCAAAACAAAATGAAAAACAAGAAACCCATGTTGAAATTTCTTCACCAATTCAACAGTTCATTTCAAGAGAGACAACTAAAGCAAGAGAGAGAGGGACAAAAGGTGGGTCATATTTCATCTGAGAAATGTGGTAGAGGTGCGCTCATTTTGCAAAGATAGAATGAAAATTAAGAAGATCCAACTTGAAATCTCCCAACTAATTTTTTTTTATTATATATATATATATAATGAGGAAATGAACATTTTTTTGGCACTACCTGTTAAGACAGGCTGGTAAGTGGCTGGAAAGGATGGGTACATGGGCGCCAGGGGTTCAAGGGGATAAGGGTAGCGTGGAACAACAGCAGGTGATATCTCAATGGGTCCAAAGAGACCAATCGGTGGATCTGAAAGAACAAAAGCAGACCCACCAGACAATTCAGGCTCATTGGCTGCCTTAAGAGCCCTTCCATCTCGAAATCCAGATAACCAGAAAACAAAGAGGAGAAACCAATGATACCCATAACCTGTTTAAAAAACAATTCCATAAAACACCATAGAAATCACCAGGTCAGACTTACGAGAAAAATCACTAAATCATCCACAGCATTCAAATGTAAATGAGAAACTTTATGAATTCACTGTTATGCTGATATCATTAAGCTTGAGTAATTGAACATGAAAACGAAAAGATATAATGGGAAACGATAAAAATCATCTCGATACAAAAACTATATCAGATTGCCATGAACACTATTTTGATTTTTTTATAAAAAGAATCCTCTACAGAAAACTGTTAAAATAAATGCACCACCAGATTTACAGCTCCAAGATGGACAGGGAGAAGTAAGTAAAAAAGAAAAGGGAAATAGTGAGAGAGAAAGAGAGAGGAAGAGGAAAAACTCAGTAAGCCTACACAACATTCTTCCCAATAGCAGGGATTAGTTCTCAAGAAACATAGTCATGGACATGTTATCTGCATCGTATCAAGCAAAAAGGAAAATAATCTATGATAAAAAATATTAATAAAGACATGTGCCGTATAGTTTTAACAAGGTCAATCATTCATCTACTCATTAATGATAGAGCCATGTATTCTTTTTTTTTAGAGTCCGTTAACAAGATACAGTCATGTATTCAAATCAGAATATCTGCAGAACAAGCTAGTACTTAACGAAAACATAGCCATGAGGTTAGATCCCTATAAAAACCTAAATGAGTTTATCAATGGCAGCAAAACAAAAATCACAGAGAAAAAATAACTGTCAATGTCCTCGAATAATAGTCCAGATTCGACAACTTACCTTTCCAACAAGTTAAAGCCCCCATAGCTCCTCTATACTCTCCAATATATCAAATACTTCCTAACAAACAGATTTAGAAAAAAATTAAAAAACCCAACAATTGAAAGAAAAAAAAAAACGCTTTACGCCACATTTGCACATTCATGAAAGGAATATATGGCTCATGCTCATATAGAGTTGAAAAAGAAACATCATAATACAGGTTATAATTACATGGTGTGCTTCCATAAACATTTATATACTCCATTACCCATGTCAAACTTTCTGGAAAATTTGACTATAAATGCAATGAGAAAATTTAATAAACCATCTCATAATGCTGAACCCAACCATTGTTCTGATGAATGGATAAGATCCTATCCCAATTAGTGAACAGATACTGGACTAAGAACACTTAATGCATAAGTTATTTCAGAGAGAGGAAAAGAACTGTATGAGATAAACAAAACATGGGTTTTAGAGATAAAATCAACACCTTTTAAGAGAGAGAAACAGCTGTATAAGTACCTGGGAATGAATGGAGGCAGGAAGAAGTATTTCATGGTGAATCTGCTGGTTATTACAGGGAATAATAAAATAAAAATAAACCAACTTTTTGGGTTTCTTTCCTCATTTCTTTCTTCCCCTTTCTTTCCTCTTTTTTAATGGCTTTTCTCGCTTTTTCTCACCACCATTATTTGCTCTGTACCACCTTTCTCTGTAACCTCAGCTTTTTTATAGTCTCGGATTCCAAACAGGATTTCATTTCGCTTCTCTGAATCATTGTCCATGAAAGATGAAACAAAGGCCTCTACTTATCCAATTAATTTCTAAATTACCCCTATAGGCTGTCTTGACAATACTCTCCTATATTTCTTTTTTGTATATAATTTATAAACTCCTTGATTGTTCAGCTTCAGCTCATAAACTGCATTGTTTACACCAAAATTCAGTATAACTATTACTGTAAATCAATAAAAAATAGATAATTAAGTTATGGGAAAGTATTATACCTATATTGTTTGATTTGATTTCAAACTAAGAAAATTGTTTCATACAACGGGGATTAAATTTCTACACTTGCGGTCCCCGAGTTATAATTGGATTGTTTAAGGTTGCATCTTTTTAAAAACCTCACTTTTTAGATAATGAAGTATGTTATTTTTTTGGTTCAAAATCAATTTTTTTTGTTTTTTGTTTTTTTAAGAGTAGGGTTATCCTTTTTTAAAGGATAAGGGTATTTTAGAAATTATTTTCAATAATAAAGGGCTTTTATGGAGTGGGTATTCCGATTATCCGCTCTTTGATAAAAGTGGGGAAGGAGTGAACATCCCAGGATCTCACCAGACTTATTCCTATTTTAGATAAAATAAATTAGGAGAGAGAAGTTAAAATATTTCCTGAAATACCCTTAATTGACCTATGCTCCAAAAAAATATTCCTTAGAATGACCAATGCTTCAAAAAAGCAATAAAAAGCAATGGATGTTGACTAATTACACCTAAACATTTCTAAGATTTTACTCTCTCTCTCTCTTTATCTCTCGCCCTTTATCAAATGACTAGTACTCTTTCACTCTCCATTTTTTTTTTCTTTCTCTTCAATTGATCATTGCTTTTATGGCCCTAAACTTTTGTGTATTATGAGAGGCTCTCTCTCTCTCTTAAGCTTATTTTGTGAGTAGCCCTATGTAAATTGTACTCCTGCATATGTTTATTCCCTTGGTCAGAATATTTATGATAATTTTTGATCTGAAACTCCTTTGAGAACAATCTAAGAATCGTTAAATGATTATTTTCAAAAGAAAAAATTGAGTTTTGTAACACTTCGATCTCTCCCTGTAAAAGTTAGATGCTATTGAATTTTGACACATTATTTATTTGAAGCACATAGATGGTAAGTTTTATAAATGTTCCTTATGTGAGCTGCAAATATTGCATCCCTAAATTTTAGAGTCCTAAAATTAACATTATGGTTTTGTTTGAGGGAGTAAATATACATTGTACTCAGTATTGATATCTTTCTCGCCTCTCTTAATATTGCTCTTTCTCCCCCACTCTCAATTTTTTGATGGTACCACCCACCAACCCCTATCTATCTTCCTAGCCTTTTGTGTATTGTGATTGTCTCCCGCTAGCCCTAGGCTTTTGCGTGCCGCGAGTAGGGGTGGCAACGGGTTTGGTAACCTAAAAAGATAATATGGAACATGGATTCGACTAAAAAATTAAAATATCTATATATTTAATTATGTTCAAATATATTTTGTATATTGGGATTCAAAAAATATTATTGGAACCGATCTGTCCAATTCCAAAATTTGAATTGAACCTGACCCGTCAAGTCCAATTTTTTAACACATACCAAGACCCAAATCAGATCTACCCCTCACGTCCGATCCATTGCCATCTATAGTATTGAGTGGCCTTTTCTCTCTCTAAACTTGTTTTGAGTGGCCCTCTCTCTCTCTGTCATTATATTACTCTCTCATAACCTAAGTTGAGTGGTCTCTCTCTCTATATATATATATATATTCCTTCCATAGTGTGCTCATACCCCTTCTCTCTCTACTCCCTCTTACTAATTATTATACGCATGAAAATCGTCTCTCTCTCATCGTACTCATAAAAAATGTGAAAACATGCAAAAAATAAAATAAAAGAAAAATAAAAGCATTTCCTTCCTGTTATACTTCCTGCGATCGGCATCACAATCTCTGTCTCTCTCTCATCATAATCTCTTTGTCTCGTACACAAACATTGGACCACGACATTCTACCAGGCTTCAAATGATGTTATTCAACACACATAATTATACTTTCACACATGCATACAGTGTGAGAGAGTCTGTTTACATGGTATACAACCAATAAGCACAAAGAGAGAGAATATTGGCATGTAATAAAATGGGGAAAATAATCATTCATTTCTTTTTAGGCATCTTCTAAATATTGTGAATTAATTTGGGCCAATAATGGCAAGGAACCGTGAAATTTTATAAGAGAGAGGGCACTTATTCAATGTTACAAATATTTAAAGGGAAGGGGAATTATTAAAGCAAAAACATTTTCTACTCTCATGGGAGTATACTTCTGTCTACTCCCTCGGGCAAAACTTGCACTTAAGAATATCATGTAGATCCCAAAATTTGCTGATGTAATCTCTAGAACCTGGCAACTAACCTCGAAGAAAAAAAAAATTCTCACTCTCTATGTGCCTGCGAAAAATAGCATCTCAAGATTGCACTGTAACTGTCCAATTTTGAAAGGAATGACCTAGATGTTCAAGAACTCAAAACCCAATTTTGTTTTCCTTAAAAATAACATTCTAGGTATAATTAGATAGATATCGAATTTCTAAATAAAAAGAAAACCATCCCAAGTAAGTATTTTGCCCGAGGGAATAAACTTATAATATGCTCCCAAGGTAACGTAGTATACATGCAGTATATAATTTATCTTAATTTAATTCAAAAAATCCACTAAAATAACTATGTTAAATGTTAAATAGTTAAAAAAGCTAATTTTATTTTGATTAATTTCCCAATAAATTTCAAAAGAGGGGAGGTATACAATGTCAAAGACATTAGAATGACAGGAGCGGAAATAGCGTTGATGGACCTATTAAAATACTATTTTGAGTATTTTCTAATAAAATATCCTTATACGTTAGGTATCGGGATTAGATTTTGGAAGAGGCTAAAATAAAGTCAAGGCCTAGTGGATAAAACAAAGTTTTATTCCAAATATCATAAAAATTTGCGGTCATACAATTGGAAAACCTTAAAGTCGATTATCTGGACCTTGACCATTATGGCTATGAAAAAATAAAGATTTCAAGTACTAACAGTAGTGCATATTATAACATAGTATCTAGACTGATCATTTTTAAGTGTTTAAGGATTTACAAGATCTAAACCACTTTTTAGGCAAAAAATTTGTATAGTATATGATGCAAATAGATTTTAGAACCATCATAAGGTTCCTTATGCTCGAAGTGTTTTCGAGATGGGGTTTTAGGGTGAGGCTTTAAGTGATTTCATAATGCCTAACCTTTATAGAACCCACATCTTTAGATTTTTTTTTATTAAATAAATAATTCTTAAAATAGGATAAACTTTATTTTTAGGGCATTTATTTTTAGTATAAGAAGGTCACGATCATTCATAGCCATTGGATGTGATATTTAATGGATTGAAATGTGTCACAACATTCGATAAAATTTGTTTTTGATATTGTGCCCTGTCAATGACGCGTTCCTAACCACCCGATTTCACATCTAACAATTAAATAATAGTTGTGACTTCCTTATACCAAAAGTAATTAGTCTCATCGAACACATTTCCTAATTTTTATATGTAGATGCCCCAAAATATTTACTTTGAAGTTTGCATAAAGATGTAATTTATTAAAGGGAGGCCTACCTTTAAGAATAAGATTTCCAATTGTATATTAGAGATGAAAGTATTTGTTATAGTTATGTTGCCATTAAAAGATAAATTATTTTAGAGCTCTAAATCCTAATTTGTTTCACAACCATAATATTCAAGTCGAGATGATTGATGTAAAGGTTTTCCAATGCTTAAATTACAGTCTTTTATGAGTTATAGGCTTTACTTATTTGGAGAGGGTTGCAACCCTATCAAATCATTTTCCTGAAACAAATGTAAACTATTTAGAGATAGTGTGTTTTATTAGCAAAACCAATGTAATATTGCGCGAGGAGCGTAATGAATTCAAATACAATCAATGAAAAACCCAACAATTCCTAGTAATTAAATATAACTGGTAAACGTGGGTTTGAATGGAGAGAGAAATAACTAAATGACAATCTTTCTATGTTTTCCTTACAATATAAAACTTATATACTTCCCCTTATCCAACCGTCTATTCTGAATAGAGGGCTGAGATTGCCCAAATCACAATGTCACGTCTCTACACTATTTTATTTTAAATTTTTTTTCTATAAACTATTTAGACACCAAATTTTGGACGTCCAAACTTCTATTGAATTCGTACTAACGAAAAATATTTTCAAAAAAATAAAATGACCAAAATACCCTTGAAATTTTCAAGGGGTATTTTGGTCATTATATTTTATCAAAAATATACTTTTAATGTTTTTTTATAGGTGCACCCCAATGAGAAGATGACACATACCAAATTTCATATTCATACAATTTGTATAAAAAAAAAACTGAAAATAAAATACTTTGAGACGTCAGATCTAAAATCAAACAGTGAGTGGCTCTCTTGATCAAATTTGGACGGCTAGATGGTAGAAGAAGCATAGATCTTCTACGCGGGGGAAGTATAGAAACCTGTCTCTTAACTAAATAAGATAGTGGGAATGAAGGGTTTCGAGAAAGAGTTTTATTTACATCGAATTGAACAAATGCGAATTTAGGGAGAGGGAGAGTTTTTTTACATTGAATTGAACAAATGGGAAGTTAGGGAGAGATACAAGTGTATAATTTGAACATCTGAAAAATCTATTTTTATATGTAATTATAAAATTTAAAATTTTAAAATAATTAAAATCAAGTAGATCTATAAACATACAAAAGTTTTGAAAATGGACGGTGTAGATATTATGTTGTAAAATGATTTATTTTTTAGACTTAAAATATTTTTATTTTTTATAGTTAGACATCTCGATGTCAAGATGATCAATTCAATATTAAAACTTAGACATCTCGGTTTCAAGATGATCAATTCAATATTAAAACTACCTTTTCCGATGGGTTTTTGATGGACATCCGTAGTTCTACGTTATAAGGTAGCATCCTTATATAAACTTTTTCCTTCAATGTGAGAGAGATTGAGTTTTCTTTATATTGAACTGAACAAATGCGTACTTAGAGAGAGAGAGAGAGTGTTAACACTCTTTTGAGGAGAGAGGGAACTGGCTACGTGATGGTTTTTAATGTTTTAAGGGAAAAGTTTATATAGAATAGGGGCTCTAAACAATCTACCTCAATAATTTCATTAGAGGTTGCTTTAATGTTGAAATATCTTATCATCTCAACATAAAAATGCATAGACATGACAAAAAAAAAAACAAAAAAATATCTCTCTATCTATTTTTAACTTATATATCTCATGAGATTTAAGAATTAAAAATATTAGTTAGAAGCAACATGACTCAATCTTTTCTATCCTATCGCATTTGGATCCATTTGATTAGTTTTAGAGAGAGAAATATAGAGTTTGAGTTTTAAATAAAGAGAGAGTTTTGAGAGAGAGATAGACGATGATGGGAGAAAGAGATAGACAATGATGTGAGAGAAAAATGGAGTTTTGAGAGAGAGATAGACGATGATGTGAGAGAGAGATGGAGTTTTGAGAGAGAGATTGAGTTTTAAAGAGAGAGATAGAGTCATTTCATAAGTTATTGAAGTCAATAATACATGATCAAAATGGTTTAGGAGGTTGGAAGATAGAAAAGATAGAGTTATCAATTCTTATATATAATATGATATTTTTTCAAAATAAAATTTAAATTTTTTAAAATAATATATTTTGTAACATAATTTTGGATTGTCAATTTTCAAGACTTTAAAATTTTCATAGATCTATTGATCTAGATTGTTTTTTAAGCTTTAAACTTTATAAATAAAGATAAAAATGCGTTTCAAAGTGAAAGAGGTAAGCTTTAATTTGATTGTTTAGACTCTAGAGCACAGGCTCTATACAAATCGCACCCATGTTTTAGTTCTTTAATAATTACTGCAAGTGTCCCCTATGAAGAGAGAGAGAGAGACAGGGCCTTGTAGCAAGAAGTCAGTAGAGAGAGAATGAGAAGGGCGGGGGCAGGCAGAGGCAAACAATGAAGGGCAACAGTGGAGAAGAAGTAAGCAAGAGAGAGAGCAGCGGCGGCAGCAGCAGTAGCCTCAATCTTGACTGGCGTTTCAACCAGACCCTCAGAAATGTCCAGGGGTATGCCCCCTTCTCTCTCTATAAACCCTTCACCCCCCTCTGTCTTATTTCTCTCCAAACCTCTGTCTCTGTCTCTGTCTCTCTCTCTCTCTAAAGTCTAAACATTCGAACCCACATTTCTCTTTTCCTCTTAAGTGCTAGGAATGATTGTTTTTTTTCTGTTGATTATTTTTTAATTCATTGCCTTGTTTTGTTAAATCAGCAGAAAGGGGTAACCCATGTTATGATTATGCATTTGATCTGGTTCTGGTTGCCCATGTTCAGAGAGTTTTCATTATTGTTTTATTTGCACTGTTAAAGGACCAAACACACACTCTCTCTCTACATCTTGCTGGGTTTCCTAATTCAATTGATCTCATTGATCCAAATGAATTGGATTTGGTTCCTCATTAATTGTTGCAAATTTTCTCAGCACCCAATTGTTTGCATTTTATCTCTCTCTCATAGTTCCTGGTCACCTTCATGTGGACCGGTAGTGATTTTGATCTGATTTCAAATTATCGTTTCCCATGGGCCTTAGATTTGGTTTTCATTGGATTCCCTTGTTGAATTGAATCAGAAAATGAAAAGAAGGAAAGAAAATTTCTGATCATTAGTTGTTTTACTTTTGATTGGGATCACTATTATTTGTTCAGCGATCTGTGCACACAATTTAGTCGTATATCCTTTATCTGAGAAACAAAATTCAGTTGTATATCAAGTTATCAGCTGCTAATCCATATTAATTTTATCTATTCTAGATTATCTTAGGTTGTTAGAGATATTTTCTACAGTACTGGTCATTGAGATTGAGATCATGATACAATTGTAGAAAAAAGAGCAGTCTCTTTTCCTATACAGTTATTATGATTGATATTAAACTTAAACTAAATCTTGGTGATGACCAAGATACTGTCGTGTTCAGTGGGTTTCATCCACTCTGCCAATTATTTATGTTTCTTTATTTTTGCATGTTTTTCAGGATATATAGGTGGTTACATACTTATATTTGTGGGGGGTTTGAAATTAATTGGTCAACCTATAATTGATCCATGAGATTTCTTCATAGTTCGAGTTTGGGCATTTTGTCTCTCGTTTCTTCTATAAAAACTTGTCTCGAGGTAGATTAGAAAATCTCCCCTGAGTCAAATCGACTGGTCAAGTCTGTGAGTTTTACAAATGACTACCTCTTCTATAATTCTCTATTTTAATTTCGCTAACAAAGTGGTTTCTTCTTACTTGTTTGCATTTTGGTATGACTTTTGGATGAGTTGGGCTTGATTGCATTTAATATTGTGGTCAATTTTTTTTTTTGAATTATCTTCACAAAAACAATTATGACCTCGTAGTGATTTTCGGATTTAACCATTTGGCTAGCAAGTCAACTTGGTTTTGGCAGTGTCCGAGGTGTGCACCAAAATGGATTTTTTGAGTCACTACTGTCATATATATTATTAGTTTTTCAAAAGAGATTGCTTGATACATGGATGTGTCTTCTAATGAGTCCTAATAGTTTATTTAGTCTGTTCCGCTTGAATTTCTTATCTGATCGAATTTTTGGCATCTTATGTACTTTCATTTTTCATTGTATCTTTTATTTTTCTTGAGAAATTAATAATAGAAAGGATAAAAATTATTCTCTTTGTAGTCTTGATTGTCCTGCATGGATTGAGCTATATTGGGCATTCATGAAGACTTTTTTGCTATATTTTTATGCAGATTGCTTAAAGGTCGTAGTTTTCCTGGTAAAGTTTTATTGACAAGGAAATCAGAGCCCGCAATTGAATCTAGTGTTGCTGAACGATCCCCAGATATTGAAAGGAGTCACTCAGAAACTGACATTGGTCCTAATGAAAGCATAGATGTCCATGAGGTGGTTTCTATATGGCATTTGCCATTTTGATACCTTTATCCCTTCATAGAGAGAGCTTGCAGTAGTTGCATTTCTTTCCTAATACCTTTCAGGAACTACACCGAGGTTTTCACGTTAAAACTATAGTTCTATTTGTTTAGGGAAAAGTACAAAGTTCTGGAAATGTTGCGAGCGATGCGAAAGTTAAAAAAGCAAACCCCTCGTCTGCAAAGAGTGATAATGCAGATGCAGAGCCCCAGAAGTCTGTTTCTGGGGCAAGAGCTACAGATTCTGCAAGAATTGCGAAGTTTAAGAAAGAGCTATCCGCACAGACTGTAGTATTGGGTATGTCTATTTCGGTTTCTCTATTTTGGGAATGTGAGATATAATCTGATCGACAGTAGAAACCCATAGTTCATTGAGGGTATCACCATTTAGTGAAATGATTGATGTTGATGGATTTGTATAATACCAATTGAGGGTCTCCACTATCTCTCCATCACCTCCAATTGCCCACCAAATGGTGACGATCACTATGAATCATGGATTTTTTGAAAGTCCAATGGTTTATAGGATTCTCACTTTAAAAAAAAATAGATTGTGCTGTTTTGATCTTATTGTTATGTAACGTTATTCTGATAATGTCTTAGTTAGTTCCCCATGCATAGAGGGCCATACTTTGCTGTAGTTTATTATCTATTAAACCTTGGTTGCTGATTTGCTTTTTGTGTTCAGAAAACTCGATTCCCGTTTTTTCTATTCTCGAGGGTTACTATTCTTTACAGGGTGTGGTTTCTATAAGGTTGCAACCTTAAACAATCCAAATAAGGTGCACCTCCAAATTTTATCATAACATGTAATTTTGGTTTAATTTTTTTTTAGGATTATCTGAAAATCTATTTTCATATCTAATTATAAAATTTTAAAACCCTTTACTATTCTTTAAAGGGTGTAGTTTCTATAAGGTTGCAACCTTAAACAATCCAAATAAGGTTCACCTCCAAATTTTATCATAACATATAATTTTGGTTTAAATAATTCTTAGGATTATCTGAAAATCTATTTTCATATCTAATTATAAAATTTTAAAAATCCAAAATTGGTTAAAATCAAGTAGATCTATAAACATATGAAAATTTTGAAAATGGACGGTCTACATAATATGTTGAAAGATGCATTATTTTGGGACTCAACATCATTTCTTTTTCATATTCATATATCTCAATGTCGAGATGATCAATTAGAGGGTTCTTCAACAATAAAACCACCTTTTCCGATGGGTTTTTGAGGTGCATCTTTAATTCTACATTTTAAAGTTGCAACTTTATATAACCTTTTTACTTCTTTAAAACCAAACATTAACAGCCATTGAGAAAAAAAATTGTGGTAGATGGTTAGTGTACTTGTATGTTTATAGTCTTTTTCTACTATCGATAAAAGGTTTGTGAGTTTTATTGAAGATTGTCTGCAGAACTTATACAAGCTGAGTTCGGTAAATGGAATGCATTTGGTTTTGTTGAGTTTGACAATTTTCTTTCTGCTCTGTGATATTAGGAGACTGCACTGCAGGACATTTTGGCATACTTGGTATGCTTGAAAGAAGCACCAAGCTTGATGAAACTATTATTTCTCAAAAGAAAATATTTGTCATAACACATAAGTATGCTAATGCTTTTCCCAAGCAGAACCTGTGGTTCCTCTTGGCATCCTCTTCAGGATATATTTTAGGGACTGAAAGACAATGCTCTGCTAGATCCTGATTTTATTTCCTCTTCTATTTTTGTTCCCTTTTCTAAGTTCTCACTTTAGAGCTTTTTGGGAAGCAAATAACTGATTTTCAAACTTTTCCAATCCTCTTTTTTTTTTTAATTCCTTTCTGGCTCTTTTTCAATCCTCTGGGGCTTTGAAGTATCACAAAGAAGGTGATCCTCTTGAATTTGAATGTTGCATCTATATGAATCATGGATGTAGTTACATTTTTAATTGGAAATTTCACTTTTGAACTCGTTAGTGTTCTTTCCGGCCTTTAGATTCATTACGTCAGCTGGCTTGGAGTGGCGTACCGCCTTATATGCGTCCGACTGTTTGGAGGCTTTTACTGGTGGGTGATAATCTATATTGCTTCTCTTTCTTATATTTGGGGTACTTATGTTAGGGATTGTATGCAATGAGACCGTTACCTTCTGTTCACAAAGGTCACGAGCACCCCAGGCCATCTAATGGAGAACCACATGGCCGGAGGGTATTATTTCTTCACACAAGGTGAGGAAAATTTTCCTCGGACTTCGAGCGCGGTCAGTGGTACCCTGCTGGCTGCTCAGTTTCATATCTGATGGCTAGAGGTTTTTGTGACCTTTTTATACCAAAGGTAAATGGTCTTAATGTACTCTCCACATGTTATATATGATGCCCTGTGATTCTTTTGACCATTTTAGTTGTCAATAATTTTCAAATGCATTCAAACTAGTTACTTTAGTTACAATATCTGTTCATGTGATGGTTACTCATCATATGATGATTACTCAGATTTGCTTGTTTTGACTTGTTCTCTATGACTATGTTAAAGTATTTTGTTTCCCATTTGTGTTGATGCTTGAATTTATGTCATTTAACTTAAAATTGTGTTCTTCGTCATGCTGGAGGAACCTTTTAAGTGTTTTGGATACCTTTCTTGGTTAATTTACAAATTCAAATTTTTATCAATATCGGTGTTCATGAATATTTTTAATGATAAATAGTTGAGGTTGACCCTCTCTTTGGTTTTCTGTGAACTGTTCAGGAATCTAATTTTGTTTTGAACAGCTCAATATTTTGGGCCCTCAAATAGGAAAAAAAAGGACTCTTCTTCCCTTCCTTTGAGTTCCTTTATCTATGATTGTATTTATAGTTGTTTTTGGATGGGAAATACAAGTCAAAGGCAGTTAGTTTGGGTTTGGCATTTGAGTGTATCATCTTAGGTCCCTTTATTCGCATCTCATAGTTTTCAATATGTATTGTTGCTCAGAGATTTTCTTTGTGAAGCTTCTTCATGTGTATTAAGTTTTACTTAATCTTGATATATGTCTCAAGCAATCTGAATTTTTTTTTTAATTGCGAAATTCTAAAATATGAACTGACAACAGGGATATGCACCACCTAATTCAGATAGAAGGGATGCGGTGTTGACAAGGAAGCGCCTCGAGTATGTTGAATGTGTTGCGAGGTATTATGACATTCCTGACACTGAACGATCAGATGATGAGATCAATATGCTACGACAGGTATCCTGAAAGATTTCTATGACTTTACATTGGTTGAGCGAGTATGATTCATATTTACAGTATTCTCTCTCTCTCTCTCACACACACACACACACACACACACACACAGATTGGTGTTGACTGTCCAAGGACCGTACCAGACGTGTCATTCTTTCAGCAGCCAGAAGTTCAGAAATCCTTGGAGCGCATACTGTATACATGGTTAGATATCTCTTATAGATTTATTTGCTACTAATTTCCATATTACATAGGGAAAACTGTAGTAGTGACTCCCCCCATTTATTGTAGAAGATGGCATAGTTAGCAGGCACCTGTCCAATTGAACGTAACGTAAGATAGCCTTCGGATTTTAGAAATTTCACTCTCTTGATGACATCAGTGTTTGATTGTTTAATATGTGATAGATGGCATTAAAGAACTAAGACTAAAATGTTTGGATTCCATCATTTACTCCTAATTCTAAAGAGAAATATTGCTCTGGTATAACTGCATAGGAATTGGTGTTTACTGGCCCTATTACACATGGGGACATGCTGTCTCTAGTTGTTCAGCTGACAGTTTTCCCAGAGTATTAAAAAATTATTTGTAGTAAATTTAGATGTAGGGTGAATTGTGAATGAACTGTTTTATTTCAAGATTATACAGAATTAAAAAACAAAAGAAAAGAAAGAACTTTGAGAAAGTATCAGTTGCTAAAATTTGAGCTAAAAACCATGCCTAAAACCAATATTGTGGAGGAAATAGATGTTGGAGTAGCTATTGCTGAACTAGTTTTTTGCCATCTTTTTTCAACAAGTAAACATAGTATATTTTCCAGCTGATATTTGTTTGTCATATAGTTGGAGGTCCTTGAGGAACTGGTGCAAGAGGACTCTGAACTTCCTACAGTTATTTCCAATGATCACAACAGTAGAAGAGAGGTTGGGGAGGATTGAATGAGATTTCCTTAGTACTGTAAAAGAGTCATATGCCTTTCCACTTGGTTAGATGTCAGGAGGTGTTCGGATATCCATATAGATTTTGCCTTTCAGATACTATGACAAATTGACAATAATGGAGACGTCAATTGTGCATCATTGTGGGCTTTAGAGGTTTGAGGTCGAATTGCAGAGCATGTAGAATGCTAACCTTTGATTTATGTATGGAGTCCTGGAGGTTGGGGTGTCTTGATGACTAGAAGGTTGAGTAATTTTGTTGGGCATTTATTTGAACTTTGGAGGTTAGCCAATGGGGACTAGGCACTAAAGCTACAGAATGCATCGCCATGATATAGAACAGCCAATTATTAAAAAGATGACTTTTTACCCTTTTTCACAAAGAAAACATCTATAAAATTGAATAAGAAAAAAATCTGCCCAGTGGAGGAAGCTTCTTAGTTCAATGTTTTCAAAAGATGAAGGCTGAACTTTTTCTCCTTCGAGCCAAAAAATGACACATAAGTCCTTTGTCAGAAATAATGTTAATAGTACTATTAAATGTTGAAAATTTTCCTTAGCCAGTGCCATATTCCCAGTCAGCTTTTTGAAAACCACAAGGGTGCCTTTTTCTTTGAGGGATAAAGTAAAGGAAAATTGTTTCATGAGGGCTGGACCACATTTCTACATATGCGGTCCAGAAAGTGTAAAGCATCCATCTTAAAGATGGATGCAAGTAGATGTTCCATCTAAAAACAATTGAAACTAACGGTCCAAATGTTTTTTTACTAGAATTATTATTTCTAGTTTTTAAAATTTATTTATTTTTTCATATTCATGATCTCCATGTTAGAGATTACATGTCCTTAAAAATTAAGTCTTAAAATCCATCTAAAAAATACATTTATTAAGAGGCCCACATTTCTACATATGCGGGCTTGGCCGCATAGAAAACGGGTCCTAAAGTAAAACTATACAGTTATATACAGGTGCCTTAGTTTTGCAGTTTGTGTGCAGGGCCATTCGTCATCCTGCCAGTGGATATGTACAGGGTATAAATGACCTGGCTACTCCCTTTTTACTTGTCTTCTTATCTGAACATTTAGAAGGAAGCATGGAGAACTGGAGGCTTTCGGATCTTTTGCCCCAAAAGATTTCAGATGTGGAAGCTGATTGCTATTGGTGCTTGTCAAAGCTTCTTGATGGTATGCATGATCATTACACTTTTGCTCAACCAGGGATTCAGCGGCTTGTTTTCAAATTCAAAGAATTGGTTCGACGAATAGATGGTAATCTTGCTTTACCATATATATGTGGAATTTGTAATCGTAATTAGTTTAATGTGATGGGCAATGGTATGCCATACTTCATTGGGTCAACACCACCCAATGAAATGATGGATGATGATGGCGAGAGAGTGGACCTACCAGAATAGGAAATGTCCCAAATGGTGGGTTGCATTCTCTCCATCATCCCTCATTTCATGGCTAGTGATGCCCTTTGTTTTTCTGTTACTTATTGGAGTAAAGTATATTTTCCCAGAAGTTTTTGTTTGAGAAGTAATTCATTGCTATATTGGGTTCTTCTGTTCTTCTGTTTATTTTCGGGATATAAATGGGCTTAAGACTAGGTGGTCAGGGTAGTAGAGTGCCACTACGTGACATCTTGAGTTCTATTCCTATCACGGATTTGTATTGTGTTTGCAATCTGTTAATGGACAAAGAAAAAGAAGTTTCTTTTCAGGATTTGTATTGTGTTTGCAATCTGTTAATGCACAAAGAATATAGTAGTAGAGGCACTGATATATGATGAACTTGCCAACTTGGTACTCGGCTTGGGAAGACTAGAATTATAGTGGGCAGTGGAAGAATCACAAACACCAATATGGAAGGACTTAGTGCCAATATTCGTCTGGGCTTTCAAATGTTTTTTTGCTGCCCCTTATTGCATTATATGTAGCATAACTATTAAAAGAAATAGAGCATAAACCTCCCTGATAGCATGCATTGACAAGTTTAATTGTAAAATCATTGGGAAGCCTCAGCTACTTTTGGTTCCAAATACATTTCTTTTGAAATGTGACATTTATGAGAAGCTGGTCATTGTTCCATAGTGTCTCATGTTAAGTGTTTTTATGAAAATGACATGCAAAGTCACTGGTCTCTGTGCTGTCTGAACACTAAATTGAGAGTTTACATCTCTTTTTTGTTTCCAATTTCTTAATTTTATCTGTACATTACTTGATTTTACCCATTATTACTCTTTGTTATGCTTTGTGTTGACTTTGTTTTTTCTTGGTTTGTAGAACCTGTTTCAAGACACATAGAGGAACAAGGGCTGGAATTTCTTCAATTTGCTTTTCGCTGGTTCAATTGTCTCCTAATACGAGAGGTTCACTTTTCCTCTTTATTAACTGATTTCTGATTTGTAAAATCATTCTTTTCTTTAAAGAGCTGACCCCAATTCTTAATCTAATGCTCGGATAGGTTCCCTTCCATCTAGTTACTCGATTATGGGATACGTATATTGCTGAAGGAGATGCTTTACCAGATTTCCTTGTGTATATATGCACCAGTTTACTTTTGACGGTAAGTTTACAGTATGATATACTTCCCCACAGATTGTATGGAATCTGTGATAGAACCTTTGTCAATCTTTTCGCGTTCGAGTTGTTATTCTTATCGTTCACTTGCTGTTTTTCACCTCTTCCTTTTCTTTCACATGTCTCGTTGCGCATCTTTCCTTAGCTCTTTTCTCTTTTTAATCAAATGCAATGAATTCGACGTCTTGTTTTAAAAGTGAAAGTAAACACCATATCAGATATGATATTGCTTGCCCAGAGAAGACCCATTTGAATTGTGTTTTAACAATGCTTTAAGCTGGCAAAGGAAAAATGAGACTACTAACAAATGCTTAATTGCTGGTTACTGGATGTAGTGGTCAGAGAAGCTTCAAAAGCTTGATTTTCAGGAGATGGTTATGTTCTTGCAACGTCTTCCTACTGGCAAGTGGACCGACCAGGAGCTCGAGATGGTCCTCTCGAGGGCCTATATGTGGCATACCATGTTTGAGAGCTCCCCAAGCCACTTGGCTAGATAAATAATGCCATTTACCTTGCAAGATGGTGATCTTGCACTTTGCGGACATTGGTCTCTTTCATTCATTTCCATCTCTCTCTCTTTCTCTCTCTCTCTCTCGTGATGGTTTATATTCTTTCTATCTTGTGATGAAAAGGAAACCAATTTTTTTGTGGTTTGAAAGCTTTGTATTCATTGATGAGTTCTTTTGTGAGCCCCTAGTACTGGTTTGTTGTAATTGAGTTCAAAAGATACTGAAAAATGTATTGCCCTCAATGAGCTTTGTACCACTAATAATGATTTTTGTATCATTAAACGTATACATATGAAATTGACATCATATTGTGGCTGAAGATTTCAGATTTCTCCATGATGCTCCAGAACATGTTTAATCTCTTTGAATTTTGAAGTGTAAAAATTGAAAGAATAATAGGGGATAACTTGCTCTTATTTTGTTCCTTTCCTTAAATTGGGTGTGGTATCATTTATAGGGAATTTGGGGGATGCTTGCTATATGGAGAACCCTTGGAATGTGGGCAGCTTTTGAAGAACATGACATGGAAAAAGTCCGTATAAGATTTTGACCTCAGTTGTAGAAGTAAAGTTGCAGAAATATGCATCATCCATGATGTAAATTTGATATCATTTTAAGAGACACGTCACTTTTTGATACGGATTTTAAAAATGAGTCAAATTTTTAAAGAACTATACAATGAGACTAGTTATCTTTGAAATAAGGTGGTCACAATTGATCATAACCATTGGATGTAAAATTAAAAATATGTTAAATTTTTAGAGAAGCATACAATGAGACCATTTATCTTTAAAACAAGGTGGTCACAATTGATCATGACTATTGGATGTAAAATTAAATGACCGCATTCATTCTCTTATCAAACTTCAAAAAAAATTTTTTTTGAATTTTATGACACACTCGAACAATCAAATTTTACATTGGATAGTTGTAAGTGATTATGATCTACTTGTTTCAAAGGAAAATGGCCTCATTGTATACAATCTCCAAATTTATATTATCCTATTGAAATAGATGTTGCAAAATATACCTTATTTCTTTAAGTAGAGGTTGCCACCTTATGTAAACCATTCTTTAAGTAGAGGTTGCCACCTTATGTAAACCATACCTGTAAATTTTTGCAAGGCATATACTGTAGTCCCATGAAAGGAAGCGTATTTGCTTCCATGGGAAGAATATTCACTTAGGATGATTTGTTTGGTCTGAATTTTTTGCAAGCATGATTAGATGAACGATTTTGAAAATACACAAAAATGATATTGAGTTCTTAAGACTCCGTCCATTAAAAACAAAAAAAGAAAATTCCTAAACAATGCATAGTTTGTATTTACATCTCCAAAATCTGTGGTACTCTAGGTAGGGTATTGCTCAAGGTCCATACAATCTCGTAGATTATAAGAGTACAATTTACTCTCGGGGGAACCGACTGTCTTTTTTAAACTGTTGACTCTAGCAAAAGCAGCTTTATTCTTATTTCTATTTATTTTTGTTTATTTTCAAGATTCTATCAATAGTCCACCGTAGTCCTCTATAAATGGAAGTTCACCCACATTTGGGTTAGCCTTCACAGTAATGGCATTGTAATAAAAGGAAAAAGTCTACAGGTCAACACCTTAAATTATAGAATCAAGGTGAATCTCTAAAATCCTTCAATTGTTTTGATGTTAGAAAACATATAATTTTGATCATCTCAACATCTAAATATATATATATAAAAAAAAAAAAGATTTCAAGTCTTAAAAATAATACATCTTGCAACACAATCTGGACTATCTATTTTCAAGATTTTCATTTGTTTATATAAATGTTTGATTTAAACTATTTTTTGAGTTTAAAATTTTATAATTAAAGATGAAAATATATTCTCATACCTTCCTATAAAAAATTTGACACCAAAATTATCTCACAAATCATGATAAAGTTTGCAGGTACACTTTAATTTAATTGTTTAAGGTAGCGACCTTATGCAAACTACACTCTTGTATGCTAGTCCCTTATAAGACAGCCAATTTGGGTATATAAATAGATGTTTTCATTAATAAATTGGTTTTTTCACCATGCCATTAATTCAAAACTCCAAATCGAAATTTCCATCAAACAATGAAGCCGAAGCTTCTACCAAAACAAACACGCTCCAAGTTTCCTTCTTACCAAATTTGTGTCAAATAGAACCCCACATGTTTCATGAGATTCAAAAAAAGATGCAACTATATTTGAAAGAGGCTGAGTCGTAGTAGTAGCACCGCCATACCTACTTACCACGTTGTGGTTTCCAATGCTCTTGGTACCACCCATTGACACCTTCAAAAAAAGCTAACTCCCTAATCGATAAAAAAAAAAGGGGCCTGTCTTCCTCATTGAATTACCTAAAAAACAAAAAACACAAAAACTATATTTGAAGGACATCGCAACTGATCATACATCTGTTTTTTATTTCTCTTCTCCATGTAATTTTGCAAGAACCAAGAATTTGGTTTATGACATTCAACCTCCAGGTTCCCAAATTGCCTTGAGCCAGAATATGAACACCTTTTACTGAAATAAACACAAGACCTCATTTGGCTTCTCACACCACATCCAAAGATCTCTTTGGCTGCAAAATCAAGAATAACAAGGAGTTGAAAACTCAGGAAGCTGTATGTTAAAAACAACTGAAGGATTACTCATCATTTCAATCTTCTCACACAAAAAAACTTTTCAACGTTTCCAAATTTTGTAATGCACGAGAAACAGGCAAAGAACACGAAAAATGAGAAGTCTGTAATTAGTTAGAATAACAAACAAAGTTCAACCCTGTTAGAATTGCAATCCAGAAACAGTTACATAATCCATCATCTAAAATACATAATCGGCTGTAGATTCCTATTTAAGAAAGACAACTTCACAAAGTGTGGTAACTACTTTGCTGGTAGAGTTTGTAATTCATCAGAACTCTTGAAAGCACCAATTTTTAATAAACTCGTGGTCCTTGTATTATGCAGATATCCTCAAAACACATACAAGCACAAACTTTGAAAAAGAGGCAAAGTTTATCAAAATCTGATATCCAATGTAATGATGGATGGTGAGGGAGGGATAGCAGGACCGATCGGAACACAACATGACCCCCACTCTCTCCCATCACCATCATCCTTCCATTGACAGGGTGATGACCCTAATGGCCAAAGGTTTTCCATATTCCATTAAGCTACTTTTCCAAAACCAAATTCAGAGGGCATGGAAGTCTTACATATGTTTTGTAAACTTTTTCCAGGAACTGCCTTGGAAAATCCATGTACGTTTGACACTCCCTTCTCACTGAAGATGCAAGCTCTTCCTCTCCAGCTTTCTCAAGGTTCCGAATCAAAATGGTTAGCGTTAACTCATCAGGGTCACACCCTGCATCCTTCATTGAAGCATAAGTCTCCATGGCCTTTTCCACCATACCCACTTGTAAAAAGGCCCCTATCATTTCAGTATATGCCCTCGTATCAGGTTGCAAGCCCTCACTCTTCATTTGGTAGAAAAGTTCTTCTGCAATGCCAATCATTTTATTCCGTCCAAACAAAAAAATCATATCGCGATACAATGAAAGATCTGGTTTGTACCACACCTCCTTGCGCAGGTATTCGAAAACCTAAGACCCTGATCCAATTTTAGATAAATGGATGAAGGAGAAAACCAAAACAAAGGTAATATTTAAATCATGAACAATGAACCAGATCCCAAACAGCAAGTTCCAGTTCAGGCAAGCTGACAAGAAAATAAAACTAAACAAATGAGGAGATCCCAAGTCATATTTGCATTTGAATAGAAATCCAAGCTTCTAGTTTCAGTTTCAAATGGACAACAATACAAAACTTGCTTATTCACATATACACATAGGGGATTGTATGCTATGAGACTATTTGTCTTTCATACAAGGAGGTCAAAATTAGTCGTAGCCACTAGATGTCAAATTGGATTGGGGTGGACGTGAAGTTCAAGAAATGTTTTTTGGGAACTTGGAGTCTAGTCAATATACCACCACCCGAAAATATGAAGGACAAGAATGACTTTGACCTCCTTGCGCTAAAAGTAAGTGGTCTCGTTGTAATATTTTCTTATATATGAAAAGATTAACATAATAGAGAACGTAATTGTGATCTAAATCACAGTGAAAAGTAAAAAACGACCTTAGAATCTCATGTTGAACTAATTACATGGAGAAGAAGCAGAACCCAAAACCCACTTTAAATGGAAATGTAATGAATGATCACTGAAAGCTTTATTTTTTTTTGGACTGTTAATTTTTTTTTTTTCACAGAAGTAACCTCAAAAGGTAGACCATAGGGACGCATGCTCAAAGCCAAATAATGGACCGAATCAGAAACCATATTCTAGATCGGGCAAAGAGCTAGAAGTACAAAACTCAAACACCTAATTCTGAGAAATAGATAAGAAACAAATGAAACCTGTGATTCAGTTAAGGCAGTGGACAATTAACAAAATCCACCATACCTAATAAGAGAAAGTAAATTAAAACCCTAATTGTATTTGAAAAACCAAATTACTGGGAAACATGTAGCCAAGAAAATTCTAATCATTTATTCATGAATAAGAAGTCGACGAAATCCAATCCAAATCAAATCCATAAAGAAGGAATTAGGAGTTTCTGAATCTATAAACTCCAATCCCTTTTTTGCTATCCAGAAAGTCCTAGTGTCATTTCACTTGAACTCAGCTTTAACCCAAATCCATCAAACAAATGGAACAGTGAGAATTAGAGGGACTTGGGAGTATTGCTAATACCTTTAAGGCAATTTCCCATTCATTCTGCCTTTGGAGCTCAGTCAAAGTAGCTAGCAAATCAGCCTTTATTAGCCTGCCAAGTTTAGTGGCAAAAACTGCCTCTAAATTGGAGGTAGACTTAGCCAACTTTAGAGACTGCACTGCTTGTATGGCTTCGGTGCTCATGACCTTTCCTCTCCATAACGGTTTTCTTGGTCCCCCTCGCAAACTGCAAGAAATTGTTAATTGGGTTCTGAAATAATTGGTTTCTGGTATAGGGATTCTGGGTTTTCTAGGGTTTTGGAAGCTCAAAGAGTGGTTTTTGATCACCAGGCTGGTGAAAGACTCATTTTGGAGAAGACCCATTAAGGTCAGGGTTTTCGGGGTCCTGAAATCAATGGGGTCTGGTGAATACGGCTTAGGGTTTGGGAAGCTCAAATTCAAAGAGCGGTTTTTGATTGACAGGCTTTGGAAAGAAGCATGTTGCAGAAGAGACATGGGGTTAGTTTTAGAGAAGTGGGTCAGAGACTTCAGCCCTATTTATAATTTCATATGACCATTTTGCCCCTATATGTAATGCGCTTGTTGTGTTACATTTAAGAGAGAGAGAGAGAGAGAGAGAGATAGGGTTATCACTTGTCCTGTTCCTGTCCATTTTTAGAGAGGGAGTTGCCCTGGTCATTTATCCAAGGAGAGAGAGACTGGAGAGTGAGATCCTACAAATCCTTGAGAAGAGAGATCACTGAATTGAGAGAGCCTTGAGAGGGAACAGAAAAACTTGAGAGGGAGTGGCCATTAACTTGAGAGAGAAATCAATCATTGGACTGAGAAAGCCTAGAGAGAGAGGCCATTGAATTGAGAAGGCCTAGAGAGAGAAAGCATAAACAATTAGATTCAGACCATTGCATTGAGAAAGACCAGGGAGAGAGAACGGAAGCCCTTAATTCCCTCTTACAATACGAGAAAGACCAGAGCGAGAACAGATGCCCTTTGTACCCTGTAGTTCAGAGTCCCAACCAGTTCATATACAGAAAAACCCTAAAGTCCTTGCTTACAATTCCCACAGAAACCTTACCAAACAAAAAGAAACCCCAAAATCCATCCTCACAACCCCCAAAACCCTAACCAGATAAGCTCAAATACACAGACCCTGCAACTCCTACGGAATAAACGGCCATGGCCTTCCTCATTAAACCCCCTTTCACTCCAGTCCCTATTCCCAAACCCCAAATTATCCCAATTCCAATAGGAACTCTCTGCAAAACCATTTTCCCAGCATTGAAAACCACAGCATCTCTGAAAAGCTCGACCTCCAAGGCCTTGAACTCATCTAGGGTTAGGGTCAGGGTTTCACAGCCATTTCCTTTCTCAATTTCGATTTTTTTCAGGGCCCTGTCTATTTGGACCTGAGATGGTGGCAATGGAACCCATTTTTGGATGAGAGAGAGAGAGGATTTGAGCTTCTGGTGAAGTCGGTTTGAAGCATCGGAGAGCTGGTAAGGGAGGATCCCTGGAAACAAGTGTTGACAGAGAGACACTGAGTCTTCGTAGATGGAGTTGCAGGCCATGTGGAATTCATGAGAGTGGGTTAGGGTTTCTTCCACATGTTTTGAGGCCCATATCCCCATGACTAGAGGATGAGAGAGGAGAGAGTTAAAGCCTCTCTCTCTAGAAAAACGACAGAGTTTCTCTGTTTCTCTCTCTAAAGGACGAGGATGAGATAGTAGAGAATTAGAGCTTCTCTGTCGAGGAAGATGAGATAGTAGAGAATTAAGGGTTCCTCTCTCTACAGAGCATGAAAGGGTGTGTATCTCTCTCTACAGAGAATGAAAAGTTTGGTTTCTCTCTGTGACCATTTTCTCGCTATTCCTCCCGGCATGGTTGGAACTTCGCGCGAAGGAATATCGGGTTCCAGCCGTTGAAGTTTACATCAAACGGCTCGTACCCTTTGTCACTCGCGAATGAAAATTAATGGTTTGATTGTACCAGCGACTTACACATAAATCGAAAGAGATCGGGTGATGAGTTGGAAGAGATTCCAATTAAGGTGGGCTGACGATGGGTGGGTTATATCGATTAGGAAGATATTTATTAGGAGGTGCGAGTTAATTTGAAACAAAATTTACTAAAAAATGTAAATTAATTTAAATAAAAAATTTAAAAAAATAAAAAAATATATAATTTAAAGTAGAGAAAAAATATAAGATGATTTGTGCCCTTATTGAGAATGACTTTTAATTTAGTAAAATGACAGATGTGAATTCATGTAGTTGATCTAAATTAATTGAATTTTTTTTTTTATGATGATTTGATGTAATCAAATGAAATCATTCAATATATTGAATAAAGATATTAAATTTTTTATTTATTTAAAATAAATTCTTTTTTATATTTTTTTATAAATAGTACATGTCGAGTGAAAGTTTCGTCGAAAGCTCGGGATAGGACTAAAAACTTTGATTTATGATGCTAATATAATAGTATTTATGATGCTATTGCAATAGTATACATGTTTGTGCTCTTCCACATCTATTATTATTTGTTTACGCAACATGCAGGTGAATAGTTTTTGGGTGAGGTTTTGTATAAGGTGTCAACAATATAATTTTATACTGTTGAAGTAAGGTGCCTCAAAATTATGCTGAAAATGCAGTTTCGATGCTGTAAAGCCTAGAGATGATATTAAAATTTATTATAGCCCCTAATTATAAAATTTAAAAATTCAAAAATGGTGATTATCAAGCAGATTTATACACTTGAAAATCTTAAAAATGGATGGTCCAGATAATGTATTAGAAGATGAACTATTTTTAGGATTAAAAATTATTATTTTTTCATATCTATAAAGAGCTTGAGATGATCGATTTGCGACATAGGAATAACTTTTTTCTAGTGGGCTTTTTAGGTGCACGTTCCTCGGATAGTACAAGTTTGACACCTTATATAAACTTTTTCCTTAGTTTTATTTTGAGCCCCCTCTTTTGGGTTGTGTACAATAAGGAATGTGCATGAACTTGTGACATATAATATTTGCTTCTGCAGTATAAGTATTGATTAGTTTTTTTATGCTTTATTTTGAGCCCCCACTTTTCGGTTGTCTACAATAACCAATGCGCATGAACTTATCATCTTTGGGGAACAAATTTGTATTAGAACAAGTTCATATAAGGTGTCACCCCTTTAGTACTCTTGAGGGGTACATTGTCTTGAAAATTTGGCAAAAATCCCCACAATCGTATGAATTTTATATGTAATTGCCCGAAAAACTTAACTTCAAAACTCTTGTGTTCTCAAAATTTCCCTGATAATTTCTAGACTTATGTACTAGCGCAATACAAATTTCAGGTCAGATGTCTTTTGATAAGTCGTGATATAAAGATCAGTAGGGTATGTCCATCTCAAAGATGTTATTCTTCTATATTGACTTGAACTAAAGATATCGTATTTGAATTTCGTATTTCTATGTACCCTCTCAGAATGTTGCTGTTGGTTTCTAGTTCTTATAAATAGTTGATTGCTCTAGATTCAATCAAAATTTGGAAAAGTATTTATTCAAATAAGTTGCTAAAAGGCTTTGATAATGATGATTTATTGAATCAGCTTCCATGGCAAATGGGGAGATGTTCAGGTTATGTTGTCATTTAAAGGCCTTATGAGAGCATATACGGAAAGCTACATATAGTTATTTGATAGCTCAAGTGCGAGCATGGTCCGGATGGACTGTATGACATGGTTCACATAGACTGTGTGGCATAGTTCGGATGGGCTGTGTGGCATCATTGATGCCATGCCTCACCTGATTTTTGACTGGCTAGGCTTGGGATGATGTCCAAATACCATAGCCTTAGGAATTTTTTCATAACTGATAAGAGTTTCATTGCGGGGTCATCCTTTGATGAGGTTGGGGTTATGCCCAGGGTGGTTAGCCAGGAGTTAGGGTATGACCCCTATGTGTGATGGTTTATTGGAGAGAACAAGGGCCAAATCCACATCCTTACCATCGTACTGTATGAACACTAGACAATCATTTGGGGAGTGGCCCTCTTGGAGAGAGTGTTTCATGTACATGTGACGACGAGATATCTTCCTGCAACACTAGATTGTATTGGAAGGACTCATTAGGTATTATGCTAAAATGGGACCTTGTCTTCAAGGAGGCATCTATAAGCGTCCCCTTTATTTATTGTTTGATTGTGATAGTTCAAGCATGGATCGTGGGAACTGTTCTATTAGTTTGAGAAGGTGGCAGTGAGATGCAATTTAACAATAGATGGAGTCCTCAATATATTTGTGTTATTCATAATTCTTCGGGTCTAATTCCCATCAAATTTATTTTAATATGTTTAATTATATTTTATTTGTATTGTAGATTATCAAAATGAAATTTTAGATATTTCTGGATACTTTATTTTAGTGAAAAAGGGAATTTGATTTTCTAGATTTATTTATTTCGAAGTTCAAAAACATAATTATTGATTTCTAAAAATTATTTTTACTAATCTAAATAATTTGAGGTTATGGGGGGCATTCTTGGTCATCAAAGAAAATGATCCCCCATTGGAAAAGCAAAAGAAAGATAGGAAGATGATGAAATTAGCCCCGAATCTGGGGAACTTGATGCTCATGAGAGGGTCTAATTTGTTTAGCATGCAAAAAGGGTTATGTTTCATTATATCAGTTCACAGATAAGTAATCAAAATCCTCTAATTTTTTTTCTCTTTCGAAAATATTCGTCAAGTGAAATTAAAGATGATCTAAAAATTTTCAGATCAAGAAAATCCCCTTTGAGTAGGTTATTTTGCCTGAGGGAATAAACGTAAATTTTGCTCCCTCGGGAGTACAAGACATGCGTATTTTAAGTATTCCTTGAATATTCTTTCATAAGTAAGCACATATCTACTACTATTTGAAAAAAAATACAAAATGAAAAAGAAATACTCATGCTCAATTCAAAAGACCTACCCTGTAGAAAGTAACTCCTTATGTAAAGTTATAAAGAAAGAAATTCCAGAATATTATTCAATAATAAATCAAATAACAGTTTTCAAGGCGCACAAATTAAAAATCACATGTAAAACTATAAAACAATGAGTCACATAATTTTCATTATTCTTCATCAACCTCCAGCCCCGGTATATATTCCAAGCTCACATCAAAAATTACTGGACTACTTGGAGCTACTCTTGGCCTTCCTGGAGCTGAGTTGAGGCCCTTTGGAAATGCCAACTACCAAAAAGATAAATTAGTAAATAACAGAAAAAGGAAGCTTAATAATATAAGAACAATTATATTAAACATTTTATAAATTATTGGGCTCAAATCACGTGAGGAGCATTTTCTTAAATCTTTAAAAAGAAGAAAAAAGGAAAAAAAAAAGAACAATAGAAACTTAGTATACATACCACCTTTTTTACGGTTATACAATAATTCTGCAATTCTAAATCCCAAATGAAATCAACCAAATTTTGCCATTTGACCAATGGTTAAGAGGTACCATGACATGGTACAGTTTCATTTTACCCATCAACATCAAGAAAAAAGATAAGCTTTTACTTTAGTTGAGACCTTCAGCAAGGTTCTAAGGTAATCAATAAAATAAAGATGGTCATAAGATTTGAAGTAAAGAAAGAAAATGAGAATCAAACTCCATAAGCAACCAGAAACCCATTAAGCATATCTCATCCAGGCTCATATGTACATTCAGAGATCAAGTTTGCCTGTCTAAGTACATGTATGGATCTTAGTTTATAGAATAATATCAGAAAGATCTTTTTTTTTGTGTTAGTGCTATATAAGAAGGAAATGATATCTTACGGATCCTGGAATATATAGACGGCGCTTTCCTCCAGTTTTCATGCCTAAAATGCCTTCATCAAGTCCTTTTATCACCTATACATGCATTGAAATAAGCAATTGATGGGGAAAAATCACCGGAAGTGCATTGCATAAAAAAAATAGTCATTAAACAAGTTAATGTAAGTTGCACTATGTTACATGAGAAAAACAAGAATATATCCACATGGTCTTTTATGCAAATTATACCACATTTTCCTAATGGCAAGGCTGGAGGCTTCATGGATTGGTGAGTATTATCATTACTACGAGAAACTGCTTAATGGATTGGGCACTGACAAACAAATGCAGCAATCAGCTAGTCTAGATAAGATAGGTTGCCAGATTAATTCCTATGATAGGAATGCATCACTACATTTTAAAGATGTTCTAGAGAGCTCAAAATCCATATCCTATAGGCTTTTGTATCTGATTTCCTAGTTTTTGGCTTGTCCGAAATGAGTTTATTTTCCTAGAAGATAGATTGACAAAGGCCGTTCCACTTCCTTACTTCCCTCTCTCCCTCCTGCTTCATAGAGGCTGCGCCCTCTAGAAGACTGCCTAAATAAAATTCCAAATCCTTCAGCTCACTCACCAAGAGCCCTTAATTTAGGCTATCTAGACATGGCAGTCTCTGGTCCGTGTCATCATAATAATCATCATCATCATCCTCTCTTTCTCTCTCTCTCACACATACACTCTCTCTCTCTCACACACACACACACTCTCTCTCTTCCTCTCTCTCTCTCTCTCTCACACACACACTCACAGATGTTTTCTTTCAAAATTGCAACAGATTCTGAAGTGAGAATTTGTCGGCCTCTTAATTACACCTGAATGGATAGAAATTTGTTACTAAAGAAACAACCAACATAAATGAGACACCAACAAGTACAAGTGAAGATCATTTTGCAAGGACATCAAGAACAGCAACTGGGATGCACCGTCTAGTTTCCCAATTGACACAGAATCCTCTTCCCCCTTCTGTTTCAGTTTCGACGAATTCCCAAGAGAATTACATGTATACATTTTCATGATAAAGGCAAAAAAACAATGATATGATCACAAAAGGTGTTTCAGTTTATTTAAAAATGACGCTAAAGTTGAGGATCACCTGACCAGAGCCAACTCGAAAGATGTAAGGCTGACCTTTCTCCAAAGAACTGAAATTTTAAATGAGATATTCAATTACATTCCAGAATCCTAGTCATCCTCAATCTTGCAAAACTGAATGCATTCCAAATAAATTCCTAATAAATAGTGAGAAAGTAATGTCGCTCTTAAAATTTTGGGCAAGAGGTATACCATAAGCAAATTCCTAACTGTACGGAAAGATTTGAATTGTGCAAGTATAAGTCCTATCAATAACTTAAAAGGAAAACCCCCTATCAATGACAAAGAAATCAGTAGAGGACAAAACTTTCTTTTTGTCTATCAGGGTTGTTTTTGGCTGTTCACCCTCTTCTGGTTTTACATCTTTCTACAACCCCTGTTTTTGTCTTTTTTGTACATCGTTGTAAAGGGCGTTATAAGACCCTCATTTTTGTACAGGACCTCTTCATTGAGGATACCTCATTTTTTGCCGAGAGGCCCGGCTTGTGGGCACTCTCATTGGATGTATTCTGTCTCTTTTTTAATACAAAATGCACTTCATAAAAAAAAAAAACACTACTGCCATCAACTATACATAGGGAATCTATACACCCAATATACATATATTAATTTCCATTTCTTTAGTTGTCGTCTTTCTTCTAGCCTCTGTTATATCGATTAAGAAAAACATTTATCATATAAGGAAGCTTTGAAATATGACTATAGGAAAGAAAAGAAAAACATGCAAGAAAATAGAAGTCCTGATCTTTGGAGTGTTGAGCAAAGAACAACAATAAAAAATAAAAAAAAGACAAATGTAAGCATTGAAACAGAATCACACATGGGGTAGCAATTGTGGTTTACAAGGCATCCACTGAATGTAAGTAAATTTATTGTTCATCAGCTTTGTGAGGGGCAAACAAACCATGTGACAAGATAGCAACTATAGGTCCCGAGAGAGAAGGCCCTATGTATAAGCTACAAGTCTTTGGAGTGTTCAGAGGTCAATGATTGTTTTCTTGTTGGCCTCTTACTGTAATCATTAATTGACCATGAAATTCATGGTACATTTTAAATTTAAGCATATGAATACATGTTATGAGATGCCACGTACCTATCAAATATCTGTCCCGAGGAAACCATTGCAACATAATTTGCTGCCACCTGAAACAAGAAAAAATGTATTAAAAAAAAATCCAGTCCCATCAATAGATATTCATATGAATATTAACAAAAGCATTAAACAGAACAAGATCATAACTTTGACAGAAAAATCCATCAATATTTTCGCTTCGATAAAGCACAAAAAAAAAAGAATAAAAACATCATATCTTTACAAGTAATTTCAAAAGGAATAAAATTTCAAAATGAAAATTTATTTACATGTTAGTGTCTCATAAATAAGCATAAATTCATCAGTATCAATTACTATCACACTAGATATAACAAGGTCAGTTAAGATAACATGTAAATTTTGATGGAAACTCATTGCTTCCTTTATAGGTTAAAATATTTTTCACCATGTCAGAATATTCAGAAGTACGATACTCCTAGTTTTGTGCCTATTAAAAAAATATGGTAAGAAATACCAGATAAATGGGAGACATGATCAAGAATAAAGGTTACAAATATCAGTGTCTGCGCCTGGCAAATATGAAACACCAGTAAAAATTATATTGATAAGCGGTACATGAAACAGAAATGAGGACTTAAAAGAATCAGGCCATAATAAGAAACTCAAGAGAATAAAAGATACAAGTAGAAGGGCAATATTTTTTATACAGACTACCATTTACATGTTATGATGCTTACATAAGAAATCCCACTATTGTCCACTAACTGATGTCCAAAATATATCACGATGGAATTGATATGTACAAAAATTGTACCTAAAGAGTGATGAAGGCCTGATGCTTGATTGCTTATTGTCGGTTAGAATAGACAGTGCCATCTCTGATGCTAGAAGGTTCATCTAAATTAATGAATACTGCGCTAGTAGAAGTCACTTATTATAGCTTTCGACAAAGTTATTGAAGAGTAACATGTAGATACAAAGATCCATGAGAGAGACTTCAACCGTTATTTAATCTTCTGGGAGTACCTATCATTTTATTTAATTATGAAATAAGTATAACTTACCTGAAAACCAACAGGTGGATTTGGCCCATTCCCAATCTTAATATCCTTATACTGCAATCCAGACTCGGTAGTTACCATGGGCACCTTTTTGGACAAAAAAAGACAAATCAGAAACTTATTATAGAAAAGCATAGAAAAATTTAAAACAAAATAGCAAAAAAGAGGTTGTCTAAGAGACATTTGAAATGTGCATGCAAATATGGAAATGAAACTACAACTAAAGACAGAAATGAAGACCTTAGGCTCAACTCAAATTCCAACACGCAGCAAATGCTATATCTTAGGGATACAACTAAACCTCAATCACAATATAACATAATTATTCTAGAGTAAGTTAAGTAATGGATTTTCACCCTCCAATTGTAGAACCTATCATGTTTATTGGGGCATTTTGGTTGGGCTTTTGTAAAGGTAACTTCATAAGTTAGCCTTACTAACTTATAGTGACTCTTAGAAGTTCTGCTTTTTTGTTTTTCCTTGACACATATACTATGCAAGGGAGGAAAGATTTTGAACTGTTGCACTTCTCGTGAACGGTATGAAACCCATGTAACTGCTCTTTTCCACGTGTTAAATAAATTGCATAAAAAATGAGATAAAAATTCAGACACACCCTTAGTGTTTATCATCATCATCATTAGAACCTTTTCCCAAGTATTTGGGGTTGGCTACACGAACTATTTCGCTCTATCAAGGGCCATACCGTCAGTTAGGCCATAAGTCCCCATATTTCTAACCCTCACTATACCCGGGTTCTAACACAGCACATTGTTGATGAAAAGTTTTGGCAAAGTTTTACATTAGCTGCCTACTTAAGACAACCCACCTCCTTTTACCCAAGCTTGGAACGGGTCAATGGAAAGTTTAAGGTCCTCACCCTTCTTAGACCAACATTTAGCCTCAGTGTTTCTAAGATAAATTTAATAACATGTCAAGTTAATTAAAAAAGGTGTTGTTTTTGACAATTTTTCTCATTTCATTAAGTTTCTAAATAATGCTTAGAGTGAGTTTTTGAGCTCTGGGGAGATACGCATATGGTATCGTAGCATGAGCCAAGCTATATATACAATTACATTGAGCACCATAATAGGGCATTTGAAGTGTCTCTTGTCAGTATTCAAGATAATCGATGACATTTCTTTGAACAATTGTTAAAAAACCCAGGCGAGTCAACTCGGAATCGACCGAGTAACTCGGCTTCAACACCCATTGAGACGAGTTGTACTGGCAAACTTAGAATTACTATAAAGGTCTTAAAAAAATAATTTTGTTTTACTAAATGACTAATAAATGATGCAAAAATAGGTTTCTAATACTGTTTATGTTTCTAATGATTATTTGTGAATTTTTCTTATAATATGCTCTATTTTTCTAATTTTCCCTTTTTTGGATTTTTCTGAATTGTTTCAAGCTATAAATCAATTTTTTCAATAATCCCTCTTCCATATATAATTTTCTATTCTTTGTATACTTTTAATGTGCTATATTTACTTCTTTAGCTTTTTTACTTTTCTTTTTTTTTTTTTTTTTTTTTTTTTTCTTTCTTTTTTGGCAATTTTGAGCCCTTATAGGGCACGCATACAACTCAGTCAAGTTACTTAGCTCGGGCAGGGGCCGAGTCCCGAGCCCGAGCCAAGTTTCTATGCATTGCTTTGAGCGCCATGCCATTTTTTTAGTTGTTTATTAGTAAGCATGTAAAAGAGTCTCACACCCCTCGCATATATCAGAAGAAACCATCTAATAATAAGATATAATGAATCCTTTTAATATTTGAGACAGAATTACAGGAAAAAAGTTATGGCATCTCACCATACATTTTCAAGCTCCTTTTCACACGCTTCGTCGCAAAGTCTGGGCTTTTGTTCTGGAGGCAAAGCAGCATTGGCGCCAAGTGTGTCTAAGGGCTCAAGTGGAAGACCGGACATTGCGACAAACAACTTGATTGCACTTCTTCGGTTGACCAAAATGGAGTTCTTTCTATCCTCATCAATTCTTATGGTTTTATGTGCAGGCTCTATGGTTGAGCATTGCATTTCCATTGTTTGGTTAGCAATGTTTCTAGATTGCATAGGGTGATCAATTGATGGTCTTTTTGTACAGCAATGACCTAGAGAAAAAGTCAGTTATATTGATAATGTCAACGGCAAGTTCATCTAGACAATGAATAACACCAGAAAACCAATTAAAAAATAATAATCAAAAGGACAAAAAAAAGAAGAATACTAGAAAAACATTGTCATTTTATTTTCAGATTTCCATAACAATAAGCAGAAGCTGTACATTTTCTCTTTACAGGGGTAAAATAAGTTTATAACTAAAAAGCAAAATATCTTTATGGGAGAAACTAGAATTCAAAGATTTTACAACAACTAAATGGCTTAAACTCAGATAGCAAGAGAGAGAATACAAACTTATTGAATATAAGTTCTTTTGCAATGCATTAACCCAGAACCTTTCTTGATAAACTTAAATGAGGATTCTTGCATTTGTTAACCCAATCTCCTAGAACAATGCAATATTCCAGAAAAATCTATGCCAGCAAATTTTAACAATTAAACAATACATTATTACAATGACCCACTTTTTGCTTTGGCCCAAATCACAATTTCCAACATGTATTAATTTCACAAAACCTCAAAATTTCCCAGGCCCAATCTTTCGTTGCTCAAACCCCACATGGAAATTTCTATAGAATCAGGAGAGAGAGAGAGAGAGAGAGAGAGAGAGGTTGGGGGTGACACAATTCGAGAATAGCTTAGAGAGAGAGAGTATTCACCTAATGGAAAAAGAAGAGATGCAGCCATTGCTTCACTCTCTACGTGCTGCTTTGTTTTCTCTAAACTGAGAAACTGTGTTTGTGTGTGTCTCGGATAAACGTTTGTGATCGATAGCAATAGATTTGGATAATGGTGACTTGGCGAGGGGTATTTTGGTAATAATTTATTATTGGAAAAAGTTTATATAAGGATACAACCTTTTAATGTAGAACTACGGATGCTTCTCAAAAATCCACCGGAAATAGTAGTTTTAGTGTTGAAAACCCCTTTGATTAATCATCTAGACATCGAGATGTATGAGTATAAAAAATAAAAAAGATTTTAAGTCTAAAAAATAGTGCATTTTACAACATATTATCTACACCATCTATTTTCAAAATTTTCAAATGTTTATAGATCTACTTGATTTTAACCATTTTTGAATTTTAAAATTTTATAATTAGATATAAAAATAGATTTTAAGATAATCCTAAGAACATTTTACATCAAAATTATATACCATGATAAAATTTAAAGGTGCACCTTACCTCTACAACTACGGATGCATCCGTATGCCAACTACACCCTTTATTATCTGCCATAAACATCGCCCAGTGGTGTATGGGGCACCAGCAACACATCCACCCTTCCCTTGAGATGATGGACAATGGAGATAACCTTAGTCGTGAGGGACTACAAATGAGAGAAATAGACTTAGGTAGGTTGATTATATGTAGTGTAGACCAAGTACAACACTTGTTAGGGGATGCAAGTTAGTTCAAGTAAATGATTCGAAAGCACGAGTAATAGGCCCTAAGGGATATAGTTGGAAGTAGTAATAAAGATATGAGGACCTAAAACCTTATTGAAGATATGATCTTTAATAGAGCAAAATGATGGACCACGATACATGCAGATGACCCCAAATATGTGAGAAAATGTTATAATAATGATAGTGGATGGTGGTTGCCCTAGTGGCGTACCATGTACCATACAGAATTGGTGTATGGTATGCTTTTTTTTTTTGGGTATTTCAATAGAGTTGATGAGTCCCTACATGTTTTTTAAATCATTAGTGGTTTTAAAGGCGTTAGGTGATAATGAAAACCTAGACTTTAGCTGGGGCATAAGTAGTTCTACCATCATGACCCCAGCCCCATTCTCAAATTCGTGTTGAAATTGATTATCAAATTTGTCATAACTGAAGATATAGCTCTTAATAGAGCAGAATGGCGGAACATGATTCATACAGGTGAATTCAAATAATTGGGATAAAGTTCGGAAGACAATGATGATATATAGTGAGACCAATACTTTTAATAAACAAATGTCATGAGCACCCCACTCTATGAGATTTAAAATCAGATAGGGCTATGTCGCTTTTTAACAATCGTCGGCAGAAAATGTTTTAGAGTATTATCATATACCCCCTAAAAATCTCTACATGAACAATACTTCCTATTTTTTGTCATTTCCAAATTTCTCTATAAACTTCATTGGATTAAGCTCAAATTTTTAGCGTACGTACTTTTGAATTTCACGCACTAAATATAAAATTAATATAATTCAATAAAAATATAATACTTAAAAAGAAAGTATACGATAAGACCATTTATTTTTGGCACTTGGAGGTCACATCCACCTCTGGTCTTTAAATGTAAATTTGAGTGGCTGAAGGTTTTCATTGACTAAGCTCCAAGTCCAAAGGAAATTTTCTTAAGCTCCAAGTCCCAAGTTGTCGGATTCTACTTCTAATGGTTAGAAGTGATTGTGACTTTCTTGTACGGTAGATAAATGATCTTTGATAATGGGGTTGGGGTTGGGGTTGTGGTGGTAACATCACATGTGCCCCAGCTAAGGTCTAGGCTTCCATTCTCACCTAAAACCTTAAAAACCACTAACGATTTCAAAAACAGGTAGAGGCTCGTCATCCCTACTGAATTACCTAAAAAAAAAAAAATGATCTAATAACTTATAATCCTCCAAAGTAATCTACAAGACATGTAATTATATAGTTTAGTCCCTTTAATCCTAATTTTGTTTTCATTTCATTTCTTTGTTATAATTTAACTATTTTTTTTCGCTTTTTATTTATAGAAATAATATCAACTCTAATACTCTGTTTCAATTATACGAAATTTTATGTTGTCGAAGTAGGCATTGATCTGGCCTTAAACTTCAATGTTTTTCTTTTCAAATTGAAAGTGATTTCTCATTGTTCGTAAATGCTATTCAATGGTGCTGTAGGATTCCATGGTACTTCACAGGGTAGCAGCCAACTGCCTTCACAAACTTTCAGACCGTAGGTGAGAGTGTTTTCCATATTTACTCTGAGGCCAACATAGTTGCAAATACACTTTTCAAGAAGGAGATAGCTCTTCGTGCTGTTACAATTTGGCGTGCTAGACTACCGGATTTCATTTCTTTATCTTTAACTCATGATTTGGCTCAAGTACCTTGTAATAGAACAGTAACACTATGATATGCATCTTCTCTATTTTTAGTTAATGAAAAATAGGTAGGGGGACCTTCTCCCCCATTGACTTACCCAAAACAAAACAAAAAAAACCTTGAATTTTTTGACATTATTTTCTAGGACTTCGGAATGAATTTAGGTCCAATCAAATGTTAAATAAGTGGAGTCTCTAACATATTATCAAATTATTTATTCTTTGATAGGAAAAAAAAATATATAAGGTTGATAACTTAAAATGTAGAACTAAGGTACACCTCTAAAATCCTTTGAAAAAGCTTGTTTTGATGTTAGAAAGGTATCTCATTGATCATATTGATATTAAGATGTACAGATATGGGAAAAAAATGGAGATTTCAAGTCTTAAAAATAATACATCTTGCAACACATAATTTAGACCATCTACTCTCAAGATTTTCACACGTTTATAGATCTACTTGATTTGAATTATTTTTGAAGTTTAAAATTTTATAATTAAAGATAAACATAGATTCTTGCACCATCCTGAGAATTTTCGAAATCAAAATTGCATCTCATGACAAATTTTGGAGGTGCACCTTAATTTGATTGTTTAAGGTTGCAACCTTAAGCAAACCACACTCTTTTTTTTTGATATCTCTCACATTTCTTCCTGCAATACAAGCGTAATCCAATCCATAGGTGACTTTGATGGGAGACTCTAGGTAGTTTGATGGATTTGAGAGACACAGAGAGTGATCAAAGACTTGGATTAAATGGTGCGACATGTATACATACACCTCGCTTTTATAATCTACTATAGGCCATGATAAGCTCTGCTTTTTTCTTTTCTTTTTTTTTCAAGCAAAAAGGCAAGAAAAAAACACCAATTTCGTGAAGTCTTACATTTTGAGAGTGTGTCATGTGTTTTAATTTTATTTTATTTTCTACACATTGGATTAAACTAAAATTTGTTCTTGACCATTGGATGTGAAATTAGATGGCTGCATTTATTCAATTGATCAAGCTCAAAGTTCAAAAGAAATTTTTTTGAACTTTGTGGCATACCCAAACTATCAAATTTCACATCTGATGGTTATAAATAATCGTGACCTCCTTGTACCAAAGGTAAATGGTCTCATTGTATATAATCCCATTTTAAAATGGGATTGTATTGGGTATACCACAAAGTTCAAGAAAATTTATTTTGAACTTTGAGCTTGGTCAATGAAATAAATGTAGCCTCACAATTTCACATGCAATGGCCAAGATTAATTGTAACCACTTTAAACCAAAGGTAAATCATCTCATTATATACTTTCCCTTTTAAAATATAGTCAAAATACCCTTTAAAAGTTTTGAAATTTATGGGGGTATTTTGGTTATATTTATTAAATTTAATTATATATTTAAATATCTTTTAAACATGTATTATGTTGAGAATTAGTTGCTCAAATTTGAACTAAATCGGATATATAAGGAAAGAATAAAAGTTCAAATATACTATTCACTATAAAAAGTAGGACTTAAGTATAAAACATAACACATATATGGGACTATTTTTAAAATTTCAAAAATAAAATGGGTTTAGTTTTTGTTAATTTCCCTTTTTCAAAATTTCAATTCCTATATGCAATTTAAAGTGAGATTTAAAAGATGCCATAATCTCTCCAATGCAATATGTATTTACTTTCAATGAGATATACATATGAAATATTCTCATTAGATTGTGCACCATACATATGCTTTAATGCTGGATGGGCAAATTAGGTTAATCTTCTAGTTATGATGATATTTCAAATGGATGCAGTTTTTATAAGGCCTAGGCTTTATGAAAACAAAGTAAAGCCTCTCTTCGAATCCACATTTGAGAAGCAGTTGGGGCATAAATAAATATCCATGATGACTCTAAAATCAGTTTCCAACACCGACAAAAAATTTTGAAGCTTGAAATATGGTATATATCTTGTCCATCAGTGAGCACTTCTTTTTTAGGGTGAAATGGATGGTCCAGATAATTTGTTTTTTTTTTTTTTTACAACCATGACAGTTAAGGAGGAGATGATCGATTTCAAGGTTTTCCAAAGACCTTTACTTATTTTAACAGGCATTCAGCCCTGTCAAAACATTTTCCGCATCTATTATCAGACGTTTCCCTAGACAGCTTAATTTTTCTATTTATGATAACTTTTACCATTGTTGGTATCTAAGCATACCAATGTAAACTGTACTATGCTTGAGGACGCGAATTGTTTCAAATTGATGACTAAAGTGGCTTGTAACATGTCAAAGTGGTTTTGGAATATTGTTTTTGGTTGGACAGGCAGGTGATTCTAGTGTGATATGTGATAAGAACCACTATATTTGTTGCGCATAAATACCCATCGAACTTAGCTTTTGTTTAACTAAATATATCATTTCATGCTATGTGACAAAATATAGTTGAGATATCAAACAAGACCTCAAATTTAAACCTTTCACTCTAGCTATAATAAAAAATGGCAAAAAGTAATTACGGTTAGTGTTTGGCAATTCGGCTTGTCTTACCGAATTTCATTACTTCCTTACTATTCAAACCGAATTTCATAACTTCTTTACTATTCAAGCCAAATTTCGTAAATTCTTTACTATTGTCTCATATCACTCTATTGTTCTTTACTATTCTCTCATATCTCTCTATTGTTCTTATTCAAGCCGAATTTCTTAACTTCTTTACTATTATCTCATATCATGTTCTTTACTATTCTTTCATATCACTCTATTGTTCTTATCAAGGTCAATAATGTCATGGTTTCTTATCCATATCTAAAATGATAGTTCCTTCTCACCTTATTTTCTGCACATTTAAGTCGAATTTCGTAACATCTTTACTATTTTCTCATATCACTCTATTGTTCTTTACTATTCTCTCATATCATTCTATTGTTCTTATCAAGTTCAATAATGTCATGGCTTCTTATCCATTTTTTAAATGATATTTTCTTCTCACGTTCTTTGCTGCACTAAGGATGGGCTTATTTCTTGCACTAAGGATTATGGAGTAGCTCTTACTTCTTTTTTCTCCATCAAATTTCATCCATCAAAATCCTTAAGTATTTTTCAACAAAATGAACAAACTCATTGCCAATATTTGAGTAGCTACTGCTTTTTCCCTCTACCAAGTTTCATCCATCAAAATCCTCAAAGCATTTTTCTGCAAGACTAAGAAACTCATTGCTAATAAGGAACAAACTCATGGCCAAAACTCGTGATAGAGTAATAACTAAATGGATAGCAATGATCAACTATTTTTCGGCAAGAGGAACAAACTCATTGCCAAAATTCGTCATAGAGTATTAGCCACATGGATTACAATGTTTGGAGTTGAAAGAAGATACTATGGAGTTTTAAAACATTCATATCTCTTTCTTTCTCTTAGAGGATTCCTTATAACAGAGTTCTAATCATCTTCAATAGTATTGAGGACACCAAGAGCATTTAAATAGAGATTTCAGGATACGACGAGTGTTTAAATAGAAATTACACGAACTGGGTTTGCTAAAAACATCTCTTATTAACTTTATTATGAGATGATTAATACTAAAAGTTGGGAAATTTATCAAATTTTACTAAACAGATAATCTATTTGACTTTTTACTTCTTCTTTTTCTCATTTAATTTCAACACATCATGAGTTGTAACAGTTGAAAATTAATAAAAATTTAAGTAATTAATAATATATATATATATATATATATATATATAGAGAGAGAGAGAGAGAGAGAGAGAGAGAGATAAATTTCTCTTTTTATTTTGTTTAAAAAGTTGGTGCATGTTCCTCTAATTGACACTCAAGCACTACCATTTTTCTTTGTACGTTATGACCCATAATGATCCCAAATGATATTTTAGGGGTTACTTTTTTTTATTTTATTTCACTCAGATAATTTCTCAAAAAAAAATTGAAAAGAATGAAAAATAATCATAGGCAATTCAATAGTTTGGTCCCCCAAGAAGCCCTAACCTAATGATGAAAGTACCCCGTAATTGTTTGAGAGATAGAAAGCTCTTCCAACAATTTGAGTATCTTTAATACGAAGTTCAGAGAGAGAAAGCTCTTTGTGCACAATTTGAGTCTCTGGGGCGTGGCGTGTTTAATTTCTGATGTCGTTTTAGAAATTGCATTTCTCATGGAAGTCGATACCCCAAATTTCATGATCTCCCATGGAACTTCCGATATCCACCTCCATATCCACTTTAATGTAAAAACACTAAAATGTCCTCGACTCTGTTATCAAACAGAGAAACACTATAGTACTAGAAGATGTGATTTCCAGACCCGCGACTTTCAAAAATCAAACATAACCCTAGTGCCAAGTTTAGACTTCAGATGGAGAAAGCTCTTACATGCACAATTTGAGTCTCTTAGTGCTAAGTTTAGAGAAAGAAAGCTCTATGCCCACAATTTGAGTCTCTTGGTACCAAGTTCAGAGAACGAAAGCTCACCCAATCCCGGTCTGGGTCTTAAAATTTCACCTTTCGGATAGGGCATGGATCCAAATTTTGGATCCGAATACTATTTGGGTCTAGGTTCAGGCGCGATCAAGTTTTGGTAATATTTTTCAAGTCCCAATTTATGAAATATATTTAAATATTGTTAACTACATGGATATTTTAATTTTTCGGTCCCGTCCCACACTATATTTTCGGGTTCGGGTCCATTCACGGACCGAGTGATGCGGTGGTGATGTATTGCTAGAGTTAATCGGGGGAGAAAAACAGAATTGGAGGCCTGGTTTTAAGAGAGAAAAAGGAGGTTGGGAGTGGATTTTGTAAGATAAAAGGCAAAGATGGAAGGAGTTCATTCTAAAACAAACACAGAAAAACAGAGATGATTAAAGAGAAAATTTTTGAGCTTCAAAGATTTTAACAAACCGCAAAGAAACATACATAAACACTAAAGAAGTATGCATTCATCAACTATCACATACAGTCCCAAAAAAGTTACAAAAGCTAAAACCCATTATATCCCCTTAAACCAAACCCTATATCGCCATTAAACTTACAAGAAACCACCACCAAATCCCCATCAAATCTGAGCCCCTGCTGCTTTAGCAACAAAGGGCAAAGCAGGCGTCCTCCCAATAACACAGTACCCAACACAATAAGCAAAGCAAGACACGAGGAGCATGAAGATGAAATTGTGACCTAAAATCACAAGTCGGAACCCTAATCCAGAGCTAGGGCTGAAAATTCTCTCCAAGAGCAAAGGAACAACCAGAAGGACATCCAAGAACAAAGCCTGCATGGCATTGAACCTCACATACCTGCTAAAATTAGGGTTTCTGACCACTGCGAGATACAGAGCGAAGAAGGCCACGAAACTTGCATAGGGCACTGATCTGTAAGCTGAGATCAATGGAAACAGCGGCTCGAAAACCAATTCGAGCTTTGGAAATCTCATGAAGATGTAGCGGCCGTAATGCAAACCATTGAAGAAGGGAAGGAGGTAACTGGTTGCTGAGATGAGCCTCTCGATTGCAGGAACCGTACCATAGGACATGGATATAGTGGTTTTAGGGTTCTTTCTTGGTTTTGAACGCCATGAGAGGGAAAATGGAGGGGTTTTTAGAGAGAGAAGGGAAGAGTTTCTTGAGGGAGTGGGATGAGAGAGAGAAGGGAGGTAGGGCTTTGAGGGGAGGGGATTGAAGCGGACGAGTGAGATCATTTCTGCTGTGCTGCGAGAGAGAGACTGGAAATGGATTGCTATATACTGGAATTTGGCGAGTATAAAATTGGAAGTTTTTCAAGTAAATGCCAAAAACATTCTCATGCTTAGTTTTTGAGATGGGAAAAGTTTATATTGGGATGGAACCGTATAATGTACAACTACGGATGCACCTAAAAAATCCATCGGTTATATGTTGAAAAACCTTTTGATCGATCATCTCGACATCGACCTGTATAGCCATAAAAAATAAAAAAATTTTAAGTTTGAAAAATAGTACATTCTACAACATATTATCTACACTGTTCATTTTCAAGATTTTGATATGTTTATAGATCTACTTGATTTTAACCATTCTTTAAATTTAAAATTTTATAATTAGATATAAAAATCGATTTTGAGATAATCCTAATAATATTTTACATCAAAATTATATACCATGATAAAATTTGACGGTGCACCTTACCTCTATAGCTACGGATGCATCCGCATGCCAATTGTACTCTTTTGAGAAATGTTATGTCTCTATTGGAACTATTTTCGGTATTATGAGATGCTCCAATTTTTCTCAAAATTGACATGGAGATCCCTCTTTTTTATTTTTTTAGTTTTGCCTCGAGTTGGATGTTTTCAACATCAAACTAATTTTATAGTTTATTTTTGCTTTCTTAAATTATAAGTTTATTTGAGAGCTTATAGGTCAATTAGGGGTCAATATAATATTTGAAACATTGAACAACCTTACAGTTGGGGTTGATCGATGTCCCGAACATTAGACAACCCCGTTATAGGCCTTTCCCCTATTTTGAGCCGATCTGATGTTCTAAACATCAAACGGATGCATTGTTCTTGTTATTCAATTTAGTAGTGATCTGTTCTTTGAAATATCGGACTACTTTATCTTTTTTTTAGCGTTGTTTGTCCGATATTTGAGATATTGAAGTGGCTTTTAGGCTTTTGAGATATCATATGCACGATTCGGTAATGGAATTGGGCACCAACTAAAGGGAACGATGGATTACGGACCAAAGTAATTGGAAGCCAATAGCTAACATTACATCAAAATGCACTTGTTGCATTTTTGTACAACCAAAATAAATGGCATAACGAGAACAATGTGCTGGTCCGATGATTGAAATATCAACTGAACCAAAACAGAGCAAGAGGCCGCTTTCTAATGTTTAGGATATCAAACAATCAAACTTGACACCAACTCCTGATTGACTTCTAAGCTATTGGACAACCCTAAATTCACCAACCCCTAATTAACCTCTAAACTCTAGGACAGCCCTAAATTCAATAAAATAAAATAAATGAGAAATATGTATGACGTTTCAACATCCGGTAGAAAAAATAAAAACTGGAAAAACGTGGGACCTTTTTGTAAATTTTTTAAAAAATAGAGCATTCTGTAATACCATAGACATTTTATGATGCAAACATACTTTTTCTTTTTTATTTTTTTGAGAAAATTATCAAAATAAGGGACGAGCTACTTAACATTTGGGGAATTATCATTATGGATTCATTTGAAAATGCACTTCCAACACCAAAACTCGTTGCGATGACTTGAAAACCAATTCTCGCCCCTGAATGAAATTTAAAGCTCCTGAAATGGTGCAAATTGACTTTGATGGGCATAATACATATTACAAGATGGAGTGCAGTTGGCATACGGATGCATATGTAGCAGTAGAGGTAAGTTGCACCTTCAAATTTTATCATGGTATATAATTTTGATGTAAAATGTTCTAAAGATTTTCTCAAAATCTATTTTTATAT